CTTCAAAAATTCAAATCAAATTCAATCAGATCGGGCGTACGGAACATAGTCTAAGTTAATTAACTATGTAGAATTAATTAAGTAAGGCCTTGTTCTGTTCAACTTATCATTTCTTATTTTTTCTTATTCTTATTAAAATCAGATCAGATCAGACCAGATTAGATCAGATCAAATCAGATCAGATCGAATCACATCAGATCAGATCAGATCCAATCAGATCAGATTAGATCCATTCATATCAGATCCAATCAAATCAGACCAGATCAGATCTGATCCCATGAAGAAGTATCATTATTATTATTATCATAATCATTATTATTATTATCATTATTATTCTTAAAAATGAAAAAGAATAAAATTTAGAAACAAGCTAAATAGAAAACTGAGAAAATAATCTTTAATTATTAGACGTTAGAAAAATTATTTTTAAAATACATTGACAATGTCAATCTAATTTTACATTTAAAATATATTTTTACTTGTATTTGTAATTTGAGTTTCTAAAGTTTTGATCTTTTATAAAGAGGAAATGTTTTAATAAAAATATGATGTCTTATATATATTGATTCATTTTGTTTATGTAATTATTTTTTAATGTATATTTAAATTTAATATTTATTCTAATGTATGCATGAAGTAATTATTTAAGTATTAAATTAATATTCTAATTTCACAAAAAACTAATCATAAAATAATATATATTATTACATTATAATATGAATGAGTATTCTAATATATTACATTATTACATATATAATATGAATGATTATTACATTATTACATTATTACATTATAAACTAATTTTATTTTATTAAAAATAATCATTTAATAAAAACATTGATTATATTATAATATGAATTATCATTACAATTTTCAAACATTTTATAAAGTCAAATCAAATTACTGATTTGAATTTTAAATCGAATCATAATTAATCACACCAGATCAGATCAGATCAGATCAAATCAGATCAGATCCAATCAGATCAGATCCAATCAAATCAGATCAGATCCAATTAGATCATATCAGATCAGAACTTATCAAAATCAAATCAGATCAGAATAAATTAGTTGAATGAAACAGAGCCTAAATACTCGTGACTAATTTTTGGAAATCACCTAAATAGGAGTAAAACATATGTCTTATATTCAAAATAGGAGCTCAAACATAAACTCCTCTAAATAGGAATAATTAAATAAGTAATAAAGAAAACATCATAAATAATATGGAGTCTTTAATTAATCCCATCTCTCAGGTCCATATCCTCACCCCCCCACCATGCCTCTCTCTTTACCCTTTCTCTCTTTTTTGGCCACCCCCATAACCATTTTGAAGTGTTTCTTTCGTCAAATTCCCCCCAAGTACAATACATCACCATCGCCCTACTCCTTGCAGTGCCGTTGTACCAGCTCCCCCCTTTGCAGATCTTTCACGAAGAATCTCATGTAGATCCGTCGCGGAGCGCTGCCTCTATCTCTTCCCCTTGTAGATCTATCACACCCCCTATATATATCCATGAGAGCTGATGTTGCCTCTAGCCGCGATGACTGTGATTTTGATTTTTAATTAGCTTCTAAATGCTCAATAATTGAGACTACATTATAGAAGTAAGAAATACTTCCAACTAATTGCATGTATCTTTTTTTTTCTCTGAAAAATTGCATCTTCATTAAGTATTGATTTGGGTTTAGTTTTTTCTTTTCATTTTTGTATTTGATTGTTTTTCTTTTATTTTTTTTGTTTGAATTATTTTTCTATTAGTTGTGTTTAAATTTTAGAAGTCTCTCTAAATAGGACTAAGATTGTGTTTGGGATTGCATTTGAAAATAACTTATAACTTTAACTTTACTAAAACACGGTTTTAAATGTTTGTTGATCTGCTTTAGCTTATAAATTATGACTTTAAATGTTAAAATTAAGGTCTAGAAGTGTTTTCTAGCAAAGCTAAAAATACATGTTTTCTGCTTCTAAATTATGACTTCTACTTTTACATAACTCACTGCACTCCCAAACACCCTCTAAAACATAGAGAAAAGTACTAAAATAGAACTTTCATGTTTTTTTTCTAAAATAAGAATTTGCATTATGGTAATGTGACACTGTAAATGTGCACATTACTATACTTTTTTGGTAATGTACATGACCATATTTGGTCATGTAAGCCCTATTTTGGGAATAAAAACATGGAAGTCCTATTTTTGTATATATTCAATGTTTTAGTCCTATTTTGGTCTTTCTCCCTTTAAATTTTAATTTGCTCCCAATTTTAGCAAATTTTGGTGATAATGATAGGAACTTGATATTGTATTTTGCTAATCTTGACATTTCACTGTCTTTTTGACATTTTATATTGACATGTTTTGGCATTATGCAATAATATGTTGCCATTATGCAATGACATATTTGTCAAGCATGCATTATCGTCTTTGCCATTGTGGCTTTGATTGGCATTATATTGAAAGTTTTTTCCCTTGAAAGTGACATCATGGCATTATGGTGGCAACAATGGCAATCCTGACTCCAACGTTGGTAGTAAATTGCGACATTGATAATAGCAGATGGGGCGATGGAGACGGCATCCTCAACAAATGCGGATGAGAGCGGCCGATCGTTGTGGCAATGACAGTGATAGTGCCGACTGTGGCGGTGTTAGTGGCAACAAATATGTAGATGGTGGCCGCATTTAATAGTGATGGCAGTAGGAGATTGTGGCAACGACGACAATAACGGTGATGGTGGCAGGGGTAGCGACACTGACATATGCAATAGGTGCTGTAGCTAATTTAGATTTTTTTTAATTTATAAAATGTATTTAATTTCATATTTGTAATATGAATATAACTTCTATGTTGGTGCATGATCAATGTTTTACTTTTATTTTGCTCCTTAAATCTAAGTCATTAGATTAACTAAGTTAATTACTCCTATTTAGGAGAATTTATGTTTCAAGTCTTAATTTGAGGATATGTCATATGTTTTACTACTATTTTGGTCCTTCTCCCATTTTTTTCTTAGTGCAACATTACTTTGGAAATTTTAGAAATCTCCCAAAATAAAACTAAAATATAGAAAAAAGTTTCAAAATATAAATTTATATTTTTATTCTTTAAAATAGGAGTGCGCATTGTAATAATGTGATGGTATTGTGGCACCATACACGTGTAACATTATTATACTTTTTGGTAATGTCATGACCATGTTTAGCAATGTAAATGCATTTTAATTCCTAATTCGGGAATAAAAACATAGAAGTCTTATTTTGGTATATTTTTAATGTTTTACTCATACTTTACTCTTTTACCTAGTGACTTTTTCAATGTAGTATAATAAGTTTTACTTTTCTAATGTAGTACAACTGGTCATTGTCTACTAGTTATTGTTTAAGTAAATGTCCACTGTAGTTTGATATTGTTCAAACTAAATATCCAGCATCTCTGTATATTGTTTCAGCCATTAAACATTATTCAAGTACTATTTAAAAAATAAAAAAGTTTCAATACTACATTGAGAAATGAGTATGTTTTAGTACTCCATCCGTTCCAAATTATAATGCATGTTCACTATTCACAGGATCAAACTTCATTCACTTTCTTTCTCTATTTTCGTTAGCAAATTGATAAAATAAAATATTATTGTCACTACTAGTTTTGTAGATCTTTTGATGTAGTATTTTTATATGTAATTTTTTTTAACTCTATACCATTTGTCATATAAAATGATTTGAAAATAATTTTAGCCAAACATCGTAAACCGAAACAGGCATTATAAAATAGGACAGAGGAAGTACTATTTAATGCAAATTTCACATTACTGATCACTAGTCACTACTCCGTATACTTTCCCTTCTTTGGGCTCGAAGGGGATTGATCCCTAATTATGTTCTTTTTAACTTATTATTTTTATTTATTATTTTTTCTTATTGAAACCAGATCTAATTTTTCAAATCCTATCAGAAATAGCTTTAAATATAACTACATTCAGATCAGATAAAAAAAAGAACAGATTATAAATTATTCCAATCATATCTGAACCATTCATATCAGGGTGAAGAGAACATGGCCTAAGTAACAAATTAGACACGACTCAATTGCCACTTGCCGCTGAGATGCCATTGAGATTTTAGGACACCTGAATTTAGGACACTTCCTGCACTCGTAAAATTTGTGGTCTTTATCTACTTTTAGTTAACTTTATCCCATCAATTGAAATTTAGTCAATTTTGGGGTTAAAAAATTAACTATAAAGTCAACTAAATTTAAAATTCCATTTGACGGAGTAGGGGATGTGTTCACTTTTATACCAAGGTGGGAGCTTTTACTCATGGTTAGATTAGAGGAGTAAATTATCAATTTTTTTTTTGAATGAAAAAACTGAGGTGTTCAATGATAGCGCAGTGACACTGGAACCTTTCCGTAATTATAAATACTACCGTAAAAAATATTAAGTTAATATTGAGATGTGAGAGTTGGAGGACAGTGAGGTTAGTAATTATTTTAAAAATTACCCAATAATGAAGTACTTTATTTATACAATATAATTTTTTCTATTTGAACTTTTTATAATTTACATATAATATGTTTTAAACAATTATATTTTTAAATATTAGATATGATAATTTAAGATTGATACACTAACTAAATAAATAATTTAAAACAATACTTTTTTGAAAATAGACAAAAAGTTTAGATGATAAAAATTATGTTTGAGCTTATGAATATTAAAAAATATATATTTTATGAAAAATTCATGAGCGTGTGTGTGTGTGTATATATATATATATATGTATATGTATATATATATATATATGTATATATATATATATATATATATATATATATAACATGTATATACACACACTAGTATTGCTTTGTGCGATGCACAGATTCAACTGCCCAATTAAAATTTAGCATTATATATTGTCATGAATTTGCCTCATGTCTTTGTTTCCTTGTTTCGTATGGTTCAGAAGAAGAAATTACAAATGTTGAAAAACAGCAGCATACTCATGGGAAAATTTATGTTTTGAACTGTACTCTAAGAAATGATAAAAGAAAATACAAGTCAGAAGGTTCACTAAAAAGGAGACACAAAAGCCAGGACAGAAAGATTTGTGTTGCTTACCATTAAAAATCATTCTGCAAATAAAGAGCATGTTGATGGCTAAAGCGATTGCTGACACTCCAAAGAAAAAACCAGAAGGTGAATATCCCTCAGATGCACTCACACCAGCTGTGACATACACCGCACAGAGTTCATATGCACAGAGCAACCCAACAGCCAACAAAAGAAGAACAGCTACAGCTCCTGCCTGCCATATTATAAGAATGATAATAATGATCAAGCAATGAAATACTCAAGGGTCTAAGTATAACCCACACTCAAGATGAATAGGCACCATTAGGTATCTATAGAACTTTTTAACAGAGTACTTTGATCCTGCATTTAGAAAATGTAGATTTGAAGTCATATTCCTATTATGTTATGCCTTACAAGATGCTCATGTGTTTGTGGGATTTTTTGTAAAGCCCAATTTCGTACAGAGCAATATAATCACATAGAAATATTCTGGAAATTACATCCAGAAAGGATAAGTAAAGACGATTGTGCTTGACGAGGTAATATATTTGGAATTACTAGAATGCAGTGATCAGCAAGCAAAAATCATTAGAAACAAAAGAGAAAAGATATCCATATTATATCAACATCAAATTCATACAAGGATTGTGATTGTGTCAAAAAATGCAAAGAGATATCACACACTCATACATACTTGAGCTTTGCCATTGTGTTCTCCACCATAGCATGATTGAGTAGAATGCTAAAAGAATAGCAGTACCACCCATTACCACAGCTAACCCAATTATCCCGGCCCAAAATTACAGTAAGCCAGCTTCCCCACATTATAAGCACCACAATTGGTGAGATAACAATCAGCCAAGCAGTAAGAGACATAAAACTACATAAAATTCCCAGCTGGGGACCTTGAAGCATTTCAGGCCATTTTCGGGCAAAGATCCAACTGCATAGGCAATTAAAATTAATAAATAAATACATAAATAAATAAGGGGATAAGGTTCGCTTTAAATAAGATGAGAGAGGAATAAAGATTTCATTTACATGTTGTTAGCACAACAAAAATCTCAATTTGGCCGTCTCACTAATCTTCAATGAACATAGAACTCACAAACTTAGATATTACATATCCAACAAATATTTTTCCTTCAGGGAGATGTTTATATTTACACATCTTTTATTTTTATTCATTTTTGCATTTTTTAATGTATACAGTCATCAAACATTGGCAATATTGTCTTTTGATTTGGAAACTGTATGAAATCCCTATTAGCATGAATCTTGGTCATAGTGTGATGAACTTTTGATTTGCTCTTGTGATGGGACCCGTTCCCCAAACTCCCGCACAGCAGGATGCATTGTGCATCAGGCAGCCCTTTCTTAGAGTTAGACTGTTTGAGTATTCATGTCCTCAAATCCCAGTTTATCTCTTACTGCTAATGAAGTAATGAGTAATGGCCATTACGGCACTACCTAATAGCAAGTATCAAGGTGATAGTGATGAACTTGCTGGATATCACTTTCCATGGTTGCTCATTTTGGAAAAATAAAAAAAATCAGGTCAGTGCTGCCTATTGTAGTTTTATGCTGTTTCAATTAGAGAAGAGTAATTTTATTAGACTTAATTGGAATAAGATAATTTTTCTTCTTTAATTCAAAAAGGCACATTAAACTTCATTTACTTCCTAATCCTACCTTCTATGAAATTTTGAGTAGTAAATGCAGCAATGCAAGAAGGGTCTAACATAAGCAGCCTCTCTATTTTTAAAATGGTATGGTTGTGTATGTCTTGACCACCAGACGGAAAGGTAACTTGGCAGACTGTAGTTTAATGATTAAGAAACCTTTACTGAATTGGAGCTGTACCTACTTTTACTAACAAATGAGACACACACACACACAATAAGAGTATCGTCAATAAGACTTTTGAAGTTATCAAATAGGATTTCTTTAATGATTAATACATCTTACATCAACGCTAGTTCAGTAGTTTGTCATATCTTTAATCTATTTACATATGGCTGAGGGTATGGCTATTATTTCATCATACTCACTTAATATCTTTGGCATTAATTATTGAAGACTCTGAGTTGCTTGTATAGTGCAATAATTAGCACTGTTTATCACTAAAAAATGGATTGTTTACTTCAAATCTTCAATTTGACTTTATTAGAAAACAAATTCATATAATATTTGAAATGTTAAATTTTAATAATTAAGTGAATAAAATTTCCTACTTGTAGAACAGTGAATTAGTTTCATTCACCACTTACAGTAATCACATCTAGCCACAATCTACGGTTTTGCCTAGAGAAGTCTAGTACCGTCTATAGGTGAAAATGTTAAAATGTGAAATACATAAAATATAAGCCCCTTAATGGATTCATAGTTGCTGTAAGAGCGTAGCATTGCCCATCAAATGGAAAATTCAACATCTGAAAGTAGAAAAGACAATTAAATATATGTCACCTATAAATCCGCCATGGTCTCCAATTGACTGCCCAGAGTATCGCAAAATAAGCAGAGCCCAGCACGAAGAAGAGAGTCCCGGGAATCACACATGCCAACATTAATTTATGCTCATTCTCTTCCATTTTCCAACTTTTTATTCTCTCCCCCACTCAGAAGTCAGAACTACATTTCAAAACAATGCCTGATCATATATAATCGAGTTTCCTTAAAACTTCAGCATTTAAGCAGAGAGAAAATACCCTGCGTAACTTTAACTAAACTAAGAAAAACCCATATGTAGAAAGCCTACAAAGCAATTACAGCACACTTAAAGAAGACAAAAGATAAATTTCAACTCAATCAAATTAGAATCTTTTCAAATTGAAAAGCACTGTCCAAGATTATGGAATAAGAACATCGGATTAAGTCAACAATACATTCAGCCTTCAATCCCATATACTCCTTCCGTCCCAATGTATTTGTCCACTTTTCCTTTTTTGGACGTCCCTGTATTTGTCCACTTGCCATTTTTAGTAAATCCTAAAATTTAAAAGGTCATTTTTGCCCTCCCTTTTTAATTTAACCCACCCCACCCTCGACCCTTTTTTCTCACTGCCACATACTCCTTATCTACTCCATACTCTTTTCATATTCTCCTTTTTCTAGATCTATTCCAAATCTCTGTCATCCTCACCCTTGCTCCTTCTGTTGCTTAGATATAGCCTAAATCTCTGTCATCTTCATCCTATTTTGACCATGGAAGCTTCATACACTAAGTTGAAATTATGTTCTATCATCCTTGAAACTCCACTTCCGAGCATGAGATCTTCATTCTCTAAGTTCGATTTGTGTTCAATCATCCCTGAAACTCCAGAATCAGGTATGACCGAAGAGAAGGCGACGGCGGAAAGTTTAAGAATATGGAATGTGAGCTTAACACCGAGCTTTTCTTCCATTCTCCTTATTTTTGTAATCATGACATCCACCAAATCTCCATGCGGCTTGGTATGGGCATTGTACTTTAATAATATTTTAATCATAAAATAAGAACCCCTTTTTTAATGGAATGGCGTGTGGATGGATGGAGGGCTTTTTTGTCAATTTGATAGCCCCTCCCCCACTTTCTTGGTTTTTGGTCCAAAAAAAAGTGGACAAAAAGAATGGGACAGAGGGAGTATATTTCAAAAAAAAAAAGAAAATGAATTGGCTAAAAATGAAATTTCCCCTGAGTTCTTCTACTTATTTAAGAAAGTGAGGCCCCGGCAGATGTTGAGAAATATACAAAAAACAATATAAAACCAAATCTACTATATAAATCCAGAGTAAAGCTCTATAAATATTAAATATTCAAGCAGACAAAAACAAGGGTTACCTGCTTCCATCCAAGCTAGGGATCACAAAACACCGTCATTTCCAGAGCTGATTCCAGCTGAAAGCTAGACTCTTTAAGAAAATCCAGAAACCCTGAAATTCAAGATTGCAGATAAGGATTCCAGGTGAAGAAGACAGTGTCCCCGCGAGTTTAGGGAGAGGATTTCAAAACCCTACTGGGTGCTTTTTGGAAAGAGAGAGAAAGAGTAATCAAATTAGAATCTTTTCAAACTGAAAAACACTGTCCAAGATTATGGAATAAGAACATCGGATTAAGTCAACAATACATTCAGCCTTCAATCCCATATATATTTCAAAAAACAAAAAATAAATTGGCTAAAAATGAAATTTCCCTTGAGTTTTTCTACTTAATTAAAAAAGTGAGGCCCCGGCAGATGTTGAGAAATATACAAAAAACAATATAAAACCAAATGTACTATATAAATCAAGAGTAAAGCTCTATAAATATTCAAGCAGACCAAAACAAGGGTTACCTGCTTCCTTCCTAGCTAGGGATCACAAAATACCGTCATTTCCAGAGCCGATTCCAGCTGAAAGCTAGACTCTTCAAGAAAATCCAAAAATTCTGAAATTCAAGATTGCAGATAGGTTTCCAGGTGAAGAAGATAGTGTCCCCGTGAGTATAGGGAGAGGATTTCAAAACCCTACTGGGTGCTTTTTGGAAAGAGAGAGAAAGAGTTATCAAATTAGAATATTTTCAAAGTGAAAAGCACTGTCCAAAATTTGAGTAAGAACATCAGATTAAGTCAATAATACATTCAGCGCCCAATCACATATATATTTCAAAAACAGAAAATAAATTGGCTAAAAATGAAAATTCCCTTGAGCTCGTATACTTATTTAGGAAAGTGAGGCCCCGGCAGATGTTGAGAAATATACAAAAAAAAATATAAAACCAATGTACTATATAAATCAAGAGTAAAGCTCTATAAATATTCAAACAGACCAAAACAAGGGTTACCCTCTTCTTTCCTAGCTAGGGATCACAAAACACTGTCATTTCCAGAGCCGATTCCAGCTGAAAGCTAGACTCCTCGAGGAAATCCAAAAACCCTGAAATTCAAGATTGCAGATAGGGTTTCCAGGTGAAGAAGACAATGTCCCCGTGAGTTTAGGGAGAGGATTTCAAAACCCTACTGGGTGCTTTTTGGAAAGAGAGAGAAGAGTAAAGTTGGGAGTGTGGAATGAGGATTTATATTTCTTGAAATGTATGCGGTTGTTAGTAAATACTCCGTGTAATTATACTACTCTATAAATACAACAGCGGGTTATTTGTGTGAGCGGGACTCGTCACGACCAGCTCACCCGCTCACCAGCTGTTGTATTTACATAGTAGTATAATTACACGGAGTATTTACTAACAACCGCATACATTTCAAGAAATATAAATCCCCATTCCACACTCCCAACTTTACTCTTCTCTCTCTTTCCAAAAAGCACCCTAAGCACCCAGTAGGGTTTTGAAATCCTCTCCCTAAACTCACAGGGACAGTCTTCTTCACCTGGAAACCCTATCTGCAATCTTGAATTTCAGGGTTTCTGGATTTTCTTTAAGAGTCAAGGTTTTGAAATCCTCTCCCTAAACTCACAGGGACAGTCTTCTTCACCTGGAAACCCTATCTGCAATCTTGAATTTCAGGGTTTCTGGATTTTCTTTAAGAGTCTAGCTTTCAGCTGGAATCGGCTCTGGAAATGACGGTGTTTTGTGATCCCTAGCTAGGAAAGAAGCGGGTAACCCTTGTTTTGGTCTGCTTGAATATTTATAAAGCTTTACTCTTGATTTATATAGTGCATTTGGTTTTGTATTTTTTTTTGTATATTTCTCAACATCTGCCGGGGTCCCACTTTCCTAAATAAGTATATGAGCTCAGGGGAAATTTCATTTTTAGCCAATTTATTTTCTGTTTTTGAAATATATATGTGATTGGGCGTTGAATGTATTATTGACTTAATCTGATGTTCTTACTCAAATTTTTGACAGTGCTTTTCACTTTGAAAATATTCTTTCTCTCTCTTTCCAAAAAGCACCAGGGTTTTGAAATCCTCTCCCTAAACTCACGGGGACACTGTCTTCTTCACCTGGAAACCCTATCTGCAATCTTGAATTTCAGGGTTTCTGGATTTTCTTGAAGAGTCTAGCTTTCAGCTGAATTGACACTGGAAATGACGGTATTTTGTGATCCCTAGCTAGGAAGGAAGCAGGTAACCCTTGTTTTGGTCTGCTTGAATATTTATAGAGCTTTACTCTTGATTTATATAGTACATTTGGTTTTATATTGTTTTTTGTATATTTCTCAACATCTGTCGGGGCCTCACTTTCTTAAATAAGTAGAAGAACTCAGGGGAAATTTCATTTTTAGCCAATTTCTTTTCTGTTTTTTGAAATATATATGGGATTGAAGGCTTGTTGGCCATGTGTGCAGCAATTGTCCCATGGCGGAGGCTATGTGAGCCAAGTCATAGTCGAATGTCGTGGGCGCTTGTGTGTTGAATGCACTATAAGGCTAGGGTATGCGCCTCTTCTAACACCAATTGGTTTTAGAAGAGTTGGTAGCGCCTGAGGTCCTATAAGTGGTATCAGAGCCAAGGTCACAGGTTCGATTCCCAGCGGGAGCAATTGCTGAGGGGGAGATTGTTGGCCATGTGTGCAACAATTGTCCCATGGCGGAGGCTATGTGGGCCAAGTCATAGTCGAATGTCGTGGGCGCTTGTGTGTTGAATGCACTATAAGCTAGGGTATGTGCCTCTTCTAACACCAATTGGTTTTAGAAGAGTTGGTAGTACCTGAGGTCCTACAAGGCTGAATGTATTGTTGACGTAATCCGATGTTCTTATTCCATAATCTTGGACAGTGCTTTTCAGTTTGAAAAGATTCTAATTTGATTACTCTTTCTCTCTCTTTCCAAAAAGCACCCACTAGGGTTTTGAAATCCTCTCCCAAAACTCATATAGACACCGTCTTCTTCACCTGGAAACCCTATCTGCAATCTTGAATTTCAGGTTTTCTGGATTTTCTTGAAGAGTCTAGGTTTCAGCTGGAATCGGCTATGGAAATGACGGTGTTTTGTGATCCCTAGCTAGGAAGGAAGCAGGTAACCCTTGTTTTTGTCTGCTTGAATATTCATAGAGCTTTACTCTTGATTTATATAGTACATTTGGTTTTATATTGTTTTTTGTATATTTCTCAATATCTGCCGGAGCTTCACTTTCTTAAATAAGAGATGGAGAGCCGGAGCTGTGCATCCTCTAGGATGCCCGCTAGAGATGGATGACGATTAGATATTTTCACAGCCGAATATCTTTGAATATTAGATCTCTTCTCAAGATCTAGATCTTAGACGTCTTCTTCGTGGGTTTGCCAGTGAATAGTGGGTGGAGAGCTAGTGCTGGATGATGGAGGTTGTTGAAGATGAGTGGATGAAATTTGAGTGGGAGGCAGGAGGCTGGATTTACGCAAGAAGAAACTGGATGGGGGGGTGGGGGGGGGGTTCAATTGTGTCTGTGACTTGGTGAGCGAGACAAGGAGTAAGGGTATTTGTGTCTTTTGATATTCTATATTGGTTTTTGTGCCAAATTGGAAGTGGACATAAACTCGGGGACGGAGGGAGTAATTGATATGTCCACTTATCAACTAATTGTCAACTAGTTGGTTCACTGGCTTCTCTATTTGACATGTCAACATGATGAACTTACAATGATAACCTGGAACTATTGAAAAATGATAACCTGGAGTGCTCGCCGAGATAACTGGCCTGCACGTATGCGACATGCAATGCTTGAAACTCTCTCACGAACAAAAGAATCATCAAAAACTGAATCACCTCCAACTGCACGAACAGCAGCTGCTACTGCTGCTGCTTCTCTGTTGCCAGCATTGGGAATAGATGACATAAGAGAAGCTTCTATCTCTTTCCATTTGCGTTCTTCTTTCTCCAGAAGAGCTCTCCTCCTCTCTTTACCCCTTCCTTCCTCTTCGCGTCTCTGCATCAATATTTCTTCTTCCATCTCTTTCTCTCCTATATAACTACACATAGATTTACAAACTTAACAACTTATTTCACTGTGAGACCGAGAAGGGTAACAGAAGCAACATTAATAGCTTGAGATGTTCCTATATATTTCTCTTGTATAAGTTCAAATCGCCTATGTTCCTCAGGTAACCACTTTTTGATATCCTTAGCACTGAGATCAGGCAATCCTATGCTGTCGAGGAAAAGTCATAAACGAACCTCATCCTGTAAAAGGAGGAGGTCAGCATGAAAAAGACTTCATGTGCTGTGTGATAGAATGTTTAAGCATTTATACCCGTACACGTTCAGCTTTAGCCGTCACCAAGTAAAAGAAGTAACTAACCACCAAACTTATCCCACATGTAAACCCATTCAGTGTCAATTGCTTCTTCCAGAGCTAGTATTCTGGCATGAGCACACATTTCTCTTTTGTGACCTATATCAGTTATAGCTTCGTGCCGCAGGGTCTTATTTCTCAACCTAGACATAAGAGATCCATCAGCTAATTCTTCATTTCTCAAACGATCTCTTAATTTCATGACATCAGCCCTAGGAAGTACAAAATTGCCTCCTTTATCTCGAATTACAGCAGGATCCCCAACCAAAGAGCAGCTGAGCTGGCAGACCTCTGGGGAGCAGAGTAAGTTCCAGATAAAGCGTTTCTGGTCTGAATATGAAACATGGTTTTAGGTTAGGAACAGGCAGTAAATTTAAAAGATATCCCTATTTAAAAATCTGACACAATTTTATTTAGGGGTGTGCATTGGTACAACCCAGACCGGGACCAGACCAAAACTCCCATAGACCGACGACTGGACAGAAAACCTTGACCAGGCTTGACCGTACTGAAAACCTTGGCACCAGATTGGACCGGACCGGCTTTTTAAGTCCATACCTAAGACTGAACCTACTGACACAATAGAATATTATGATCAAGAAATCAAGAGAAATTGCTAATAAAGCAAATACCATGATTGGAAATACCTCGAGAGTCAAACAATGGCGAGAGACAGCGAATCCAAAAGCTACGACAAGGGTAATTGCTAAAACAGTAGCTCCAGCAAAAGGGGGATAGATTTTCAAACTTGCAACTACACCCCATCCTTCAATAGCTAATGCAACGCCATAAAGCAAAAGAAATGCACCACTGAGGATAGAAAGTAGAACAATTTGTCAAGTACTTAAATATTCCAAGGAAAAATGATGATAAGAACATGATTTTTTTGGATAACATGATAAAAATTCATTAGAAAATGAGAGAACTCCAACACTTCAGCATACAGAGAAGAGTTCAACAAAACCTGACGTTTTTCCCACAATCTGCAAGTGCATCGTACACATACACAGGTAACACCCTTGGGGAATAGACTACTATCAAAGGTGAAAGGAGCACCTAGAGAAGACAATAATTACTTAGTTATTAAAGCAAGAAAACATGTCAAGAAGAAATAGGAAGAACATCTCACTGTGGGAGAGGGCCAACATAACAACTAACAAGCCATTCCCAGCCCTAAATTATTATTTCAAGAATGATCAACTTACAGACAATGCCCTTCCAGCTAGTAGGAAAAGAAATGAAAAGTAACCAACGTATGCACCAACAAAAGCCTTGTCTGGAACAAACCAAAAATCCAATCAAGCATTACGAAGGATGCAAATTGATATTGGTCATTATCCGAGGAGTCCTATGGTGATCTGTGAATCATATCATCACGAGTGATATATAAGAAAGTGATCTTACCTTGAAACCATCCAACAAGTAAGGCTGCCAAAGCCAAAAGAAACGCTAGAAAACAAACAGCTAACATCTGAACCCTTGTCAGATAGAAATTATTTGAGGCCCAATAATGAATTGCACCGATAGCTAGAACTAGAAATAGGAGAACTAAGAGAAATGTTGCTCCTATCTTTCATAATATGAAGTGAAACTCCTTAGAGATAAACAATAATAAGAGATAAATTAACCAATAGTATTGACTTACCCTCCAAGGATGCATTGTAACTATGATGGCCGAAATGGCACCAAGCAAAAGAAGAAGACCAATAATAATGAATATATAGGCACCTCGATAAAGCTTTCAGTTATCATCTTTCCTGATACACCCTCCGTCCCACTAAGATGTTCTCATTTTGACTTTTGGTTGTTTTCAAGGAGTGTTGAAAAAAGGTGAAAGTTTACCATAATACCCTTAATGAAAATGGATGGAGTGTATAAAATGAGGTGGGTGAGGTGTAATAAATAAAGTAAGTGGGGGTAGTTGTGGCATTTTAATTGTTAAAAAATGAAATGGGAAGATCTATTGTGCACAAAGAAAAAGGGCTATTGGAAAGATCTATGGGGGACGAAGGGAGTAATATTTACAATAGAGTTACTCTAAATGAGGAGCAGCTCACATCTTACAATTCAAGTACAATGGTTTAGAAGTGTGAAATGAATCCGAATAAGCTTGTTAAAGATCAGTTGGTTCTCGGGGACGGAGGGAGTGGACATAAACTCGGGGACGGAGGGAGTAATTGATATGTCCACTTATCAACTAATTGTCAACTAGTTGGTTCACTGGCAACATGATGAACTTACAATGAAAGAGTACTGATAGGAGAAGGTAATACAGAGAGTACATATTCATATTAAAGACCCCATAAACTAGAACTATTGAAAAAATGATAACCTGGAGTGTCGCCGGGATAACTGGCCTGCACGTATGCGGCATGCAATGCTTGAAACTCTCTCACGAGCAAAAGAATCATCTAAAACTGAATCACCTCCAACTGCACGAACAGCAGCTGCTACTGCAGCTGCTTCTCTGTTGCCAGCATTGGGAATTGATGACATAAGAGAAGCTTCTATCTCTTTCCATTTGCGTTCTTTTTTCTCCAGAAGAGTACTCCTCCTCTCTTTACCCCTTCCTTCCTCTTCGTGTCTCTGCATCAATATTTCTTCTTCCATCTCTTTCTCTCCTATATAACTACACATACAACAACAACAACAACCCAGTTAAATCCCACAAAAGTAGGGTCTGGGGAGGGTGTGTGTACGCAGACCTTGCCCCTACTCGAAAGTAGAGAGGCTGTTTCCAAAGAGACCCCCGGCTCAACGTCGAAAGTTGCATTGCTTAACTAACTGCTACTTCATTAATTAAAGAAGCACAGACAGTTTAGAGATCCATTTTGATTTATTCCATCACATCCCAAAGCCAAAAATACTGAAATTTTGGCTCCATCCGAGATGATGGAAATATAACTACACATAGATTTACAAAATTAACAACTTATTTCACTGTGAGACCGAGAAGGGTAACAGAAGCAACATTAATAGCTTGAGATGTTCCTACATACCTCTCTTGTATAAGTTCAAATTGCCTATGAACTTAATTTTTCTATTGAACATTACTTCGTACAAAATACAGAGTAAATAAACTAAATGAGATGACGTAAAAGTGATTTAATCATAGTACTCTGATTTATTTATGCATTCCAATACAAATAACCTTCTTTTATTTGCATGGTGTTAGCTCAAATTACAAAAAAAAAGGGGGGGGTTCGATCAGTCCAATAATATATCTAAGTTATTATCAATAATAACTGATTCATCTAAAGAGTTATCTATATATATATATCCCGTTCTTCACATGTATAAGTCATAATGGATATATATTATCACTTCCCTTATTATGATGATGGTGAAGACGATAATGATGATGATAACACAATAATATTAATAGTGATATTAATTGTAATAGTAATAGTAATAGTAGTAGTAGTAATAATAATAATAATAAATACTCTCTCCATCCCTAGCTACGTTCTTGCCCGTTCTTGGCACAATTATTACGAAAGTGAAGGTGTGTTGAGATTTATTTAGGGCCAGGACAATCAAAACACAATAAAAAAAGAGAGATCTGGGACATACCCTGGGAAAGCCACTGTTCACGCCGGGCATCAAGCTTGTACTGCTTCAACTTCGCCGAACGATGGGCCTAAATTCCGGGGAAAAAATGTAGAAAACAAACAAAGATGATCCGATCACATCAAGAAAAATCATAAAGCAAATGAAGAACGCAATTAAATTAAAAGAAATAGCACCAAACCATCAGCCGGCGAACAGGAATTGAAAAATGCCTTCTTTTTATTGGCTAAATCCTTAGGGTTAGCAGCGGCCATCGGGATCGAAGCTTTGGGAATTGAATCGGAAATCATGGCTGCAAAGACGGATTCTTGAGTCGGTGAATCGACGAGAAACCCTATTCTCAACACGAAAGGGGAAAAATGGGAAAACTCAGAAATTGTGTTATTAGGGATCGGAGAAATTTCGAGAGTGACGAACCACACACAGAAACAACGGAAACTATATACAGAGTATATAGTTATATACAGTCTCTAAAAACAATGTCTTGCCCGATTTATAAATTAAAAAGAAATATCCGTTTCCAAGAATATCCTTGGAACCGTACATTATTTCCAATGCAACCAAAGGTTTTGGACTGGAAAAAAAGTAAAACGACGTCGTATGGTTTGGGCTTGCTCTTATTGTTCATAATCGGCCAAACTTTACACTAGTTGGGCCGAGTTCGGTGAACCAGTTTTGGGCAGGCCAAAATTATTTCTTTTTGTCAAAATTTTGAATTTTGAATTTTTGTATTAGATTTTGAGTTCCAAATTTTAGATTAAGCTTTTCAATTTAGAATCTATAATTTTTTCTTTTAAAACTAACCAAGTATATTATTATATTTTAATTTTTACAAGAGTAGTATCTTTAACTAAATAATTAAATAAATATATCGATATGTTGATTATATTTTTTTGTAGAAATAACAAAAAACAATTGAAATTATTACCTTAATATATAAAAATATTTATTTTTTTATATATTTAAATTATATTCTAGAAAATATAACATACTTGTTTGACTAAATGTATTTTTTATATGAAGTATTAAATAAATATAGTCTGAAAACTCATACTCCGAAATAATATTTTATATGATTATAATTTTCTTTACATAATGATATGGATCGGATAATATTTTACTAACTAACTTATTAGCTAGGTTTTGTGGTCATTCTTGTTCTAACCATATCTGAACCATTCAGATTAGGGTGAAGAGAACAAGGCATAAGTACTCTGTTATAAACAAATTAGACACGGCTCAGTTGCCACTTGCTGCTGAGATGCCATTGAGATTTTAGGACATATGGTGTTGCGATCGTAAAATTTGTGATCTTTATTAACTCTAATCTTCCTAATTAACTTTATCCCATCATTTGAAATTTAGTCAACTTTAAGGTCAAAAAAAAACAACTACAAAGTCAACTAAATTTGAAAGTCTATTTGACGGAGTAGGGGATGGGTTCACGTTTATGCCAAGGTGGGAGGTTTTACTCAAGGTTAGATTAGAGGAGTAAATTATCAATTTTTTGAATGAAAAAATTGAGGTGTTCAATGACTGTGCAGTGACACTAGAACCTCTCCGTAATTAAGTAAATAGTTCCGTAAAAAATATTAAGTTAATATTGAAATGTGAGAGTTGGAGGAAGATAGTGAGGTTAGTAATTATTTTGTAAAAATTACCAGTAATGAAGTACTTTATTTATACAATATAATTTTTTTATTCGAACTTTTTATAATTTACAAATATTATGTTTTGAACTATTATATTTTTAAATGTTAAATATGATATTTTTAAGATTGATACACAAACGAAATAAATAATTTAAAATAATAATTTTTTTGAAAACAGACAAAAAATTTAGATGATAAAAATTATGTTTGAGCTTATGAATATTAAAAAAAATTATGAAATCCATGTGCGCATACACACACACACACACTAGTATTGCTCCGTGCAATGCACATATTCAAGTCCCCAATTAAAATTTAGTGTTATATCTTAATATGAATTTGTCTCATGTCTTTGTTTTACGTGTCTTTGTTTCGTATTGTTCAAAGTGTAGCATGTTGCTTTTGAGTTCGAAGTTTGTAATGTATTGTGATACTTAATCAATAAACTCAATTTATTACAATGTGTATTTATTTAAACAAATGTAGAGGTAGCATATAATTGTATTTTTACGCATATTTTTACTCTATAAATACATATGCGGTGTCGAAAATTTTAACAACCATCTTTAATAAACTTGATGAAATAAACAAAATCATTTTGGTGAGATTATAAAAAGTCTATGGTAAGACGTTGTGTTTTAAGTATTGAGAATAAGCCTTGCACCAAACATCATCGTTGAGGCTAAACTGCATGGTATTCATAGTAATATCGATTATTTGAGCTCAAAGAATGCGAGAATGTAAGTAATGAAAGTTTAGGAAATATGTGTATATGAAATATCTTACTCCCTCTGGTCCTAACAAATTTTCTTGTTTTGATTTTTTGGTCAAACAGTGACACTTTTTATAATAAATTTTGAAAAAAGAATATTTAATTAATATTAATTAATATAGTTGGGTTCATCTTAGAATATAGTTTTGATATATCAAATTTTTATATTATTTGTTTATTTAGAATATGTCTAGTTTGTGGTACAAAAATGTCACTGTTCGACCAAAAAATTCAAAACATCAAAGGTTTTAAGACATGAGAGAGGATTTTGAACAAGAACTTTAGGACAACACTGCTATCTTGTTCTAACTTTTGTACATATTTACAAAATATTTAATAAAGTAAACAATGTTGTTAAATATTGTCTTTTAGTTTGAATAACACCAGAAACTTAGGTAAGTGAATGGATTAAATTATACCCCGTAATGATTTCAAAAAAAAAATTATACTCTGTAACAATCAATATAAAGCATAAAACAAAAATATATTCTATGAGCATTGTAGTTTTATCTAAGCCCAAAAATTACTTAACATGTAGGTAAAAGTATATCATATTACAAAGTAATACTGTAGAGCTTCATCTTGCAAAAAAAAAAGAACATGTAGAAAACTAAATATAGTATAGTGTTGGATAAATTTGTTTGAATAATGTTATTTTTTAAAGAAGTTGTATGAGGTTTAGAAATACCAAAAAAATGAATAATACGACATTGTTAAAGGTCACCATGAATACTCGTTATAAACTAGTGTAATCCCCAAGCTAGAAGTGAAGAAGGGTAAAAATAAGTGCAACATCCAAATCACAAAAATAAATTTATGAGACAAAAGGTGCATAATGAATTTTGTGCAATTCTTTAGATGATCTTCAAAATTTTAAATAGATAGTGATGACAATTTTGTTTGAAAAGATTAATAAGAGATTCAATTTGAATTAGGTACAAGTATTACTTTATCATAGTTTCATATCATTGTAAAATTTTCATACTATGAATTAAACTAAAAAGGTTAACGGTTGATACGCAACTGAAAGTAGTAAGAGACAAAATCAAACCATCACTGTATCCACTAATAGCATTTATTGCATCGAAAAAGGTGCTTGGAGTATCGGGAAGATCTCATCAAACCATCATTGTATCAAGTTTTTATAACATTTAATTATTCTAACTGTATTTAATTTGTAATCAAAGTGGTACATAGTTTTGCAAAAAAGTTTAAGCATTATAATCTTTTTGAAACGAAGGAAGTATATAGAATAAAAATTTGAATATATTTTATTCAAGGATTGTATTCATTTGGAGTTTATATTTTAGACCATTTTTAAATATATTTTAAAAATATGTTTCCTACATAATTACTTATATAAATTTTAAAAATTTTAAATTTTATTAATTTTTTAAAAAAAGGAAGTGTGATGTTGTTTTAAATAAAGCATTCATCATTTTTTTCTATTACATCTCAAAATAAATATTTAATTTATATAAATTTCAATATATGTACATGAATATTGAAAGTAAAAGTTTTCTGTGAAAAGAGAGATTTTATAGTTTTTGAAACACCTCATATTAGATTACCTCACATTAAGACAATGGAAAGACACAAAGAGCTTTTACATTCACGAAAACATGCTTTTTATTTATAGGTTTTCTTTAAACCACTGGATTAAAGAAATGATATTTGAATAATTACATATGTGAACACTCCACATCATTTCCCTTTAAAAGACACCTATTCATTAACACATAAACCATCAATAGGTAAAAAGTTAAAATAATTAAGTAATAAAAAATTTTAAAATTACAAAAAACCTGAGCTGATAGCAAATCTCCATTACATGTTTGAGGACTACATGAATTTCAACAAAAACCTCCAATTACACTACACTTTATATGAAATCCAAATATCCATGACCTTAAGAGTAACAGTAATGTCAAAATAACTAAATACCATTGCCAACAATAGCCTTAAAACAACAGCCCCATGCCCATGAATTGTGAATTTAGCATGGAAAGTTGATCCCAAGACTGCAGACAATGTGAAACACTTCCATTGGTTCCATAACTACTTAGATACCATAAAATGTAGTTTGTTACCCAGTACTCACTAAATCAGAGCATTCCCTCCCCCAAATACAAAGTCAAAATCCTTTTGTCTGCAAACAGTTTTTAAAATCCAAAGCCGCACTCGAGCGTTCATTGTGTGCTTTGTCCTCGATTTCCCAGCAATAAACTCAGCATTTTCAAACAAAAGGTGGGTGGCTTTCTATATATGTGCTCTATAGGGTCTTGGCTTACCATTCAATCACGTTTGGGATTATTTGAATCCAACGAATTAGTGCTTTTTTAGGAAGAAAAGTACTCCGTACTTTTTAAAAAGATGTGATCAGCTAAATGTGCTTCAAATTCTTAAAAAAATCACTTTTTGGGATAATTTGAGGAAGCTTGGCATTGGAGAGTCTTCAAAAAAAAAAACACTGTTAGTGCTTAAGTGAGAATGAACTTATAAAAGCATTTAAAGCCTAAGTCTTCAAAGAAGCTGTTATCTTGTTAAATTGGAGTGGGATTTCATTTCATTGTTCTAAGAAGAGATGGAATCCCGGACCAGCCTGGTGTTCTTTTTTTTGCTTTTGATAATGCCTATATTCACTGTTATTGAAACAATCATCATCGACCACAGGTTGTTGGAAACCTTTTTACCCATCATCAGAAGTGTGTTCTTGTTGACACTGAGGCTCCTGATTATTGTAGAAAAATTACAGCCTTTATTGGTGGCCTGGATTTGTGTGATGGCAGATATGACACCCCTGAAGATCGTATCCTTACTGATCTCGACACTATCTTTGAAAATGACATTCACAACCCTACATTTTCAGTGAGTATTTATTCATCTCTTATTAGGCATTCAATTTCTGTTGTCTTTGGCTCCATTTTGTAGGCTTATGTGTCTTATTCAGTTATTCTTCTTATAAAGAGAACAAATGCAATAACCTTTGACATAGAGGATTCATGCATTTCAGCCAAACCCCATGGCCAAACAGTCTCTTAATGAAATTTTTATCTGAGACATGTGCAGGATTCCGTGTCTGGCCCAAGACAACCATGGCATGATCTACACTGTAAAATTGAGGGTCCTGCTGCATATGATGTACTGACTAACTTTGAACAAAGATATAGAAATTCCGCAAGACGAATGTATTTAAATATGAAAAAGATTAGGCATCGGAGTGCAGATGCTTTGCTGAATGTGAGACTAATTCCTTACATTAATCTCCCTTCTGCGGGCACTGATGGCCAACACCAAATGCCCAAGACACGTGAACATACCCCCATGGTCACATGGCCTACTATCCGTCCCGGATTACAGTTTTCATGGTGTATAGATCTATTAGATACCTTACCAGAAGGGTTGAAAAGTAATACCTTTGGCCAGAAAAGAATAAAGTGATGCTAAAATTAGAATTAATGAATGATGAGGAAGAACAATTATATGTGTACCCCAAGGTGAATGAACCTGCAAATCAATCAGGTGTAGGTATGAATACAAATAGACCTAAGGTAATATAACACATGATAACCGCCTGGGAACGAAGGAAGTGGTAAGTAATTGAAAAGATCTTCATTTTGTTGAAAACATATACGAGACAACATGCTAAACACATGGTGTGTAAGATACGCAAATACCTGAGAGGGAGTACGTTCCAATGGGAGTTGTAAGATAAGAGCGTTTGATTTTGTAAGAAGGCCAAGACTCTCAGGTATCTGTAATATATGATTTCTGCTTGGGTACAGAACGACGGGATATTCCAATGACTACTTGCTTAGCGGACAAAGATGGCAATGGTAAATAATAGACCCTATGAGGCGAAAAAACATCAATAAGCAATGACAGTAAAACATATTTTCCATAAAATAAACCATGCAGCTGTTATAGAATATACCACTCAACGGAATTCAATTCACCAACATTTACACTCAGCATAGCAATTGCTTGCTCCTAGCCTCTCAGTGTAATAATCTTGTTGCACTAAGAAAGGCCACATGATCCGCCCTCATAAAACCCCTCATAACAGGTAAATATAACCATAACCCACTATATGTTATGATAACCATTTTTTAAAAAAAGGTAACTTATAGGGCAATGTACCTCAATTATGGAGAATCTTTAAATCAAAATATATACATTTAAAGTGGCTTAATTATAGAAAACAATAGTTGGAGAGTATAATGGATCTTAATTCTCCCTATTGTAAATCCTTGATAGAAATTTTACTTTTACTTACACATGCTAAACACATGGTGTGTTAGATACGCAAATACCTGAGAAGGAGTACGTTTCAATGGGAGTTCTAAGATAAGAGACTTGGATTTTGTAAGAAGGCAAAGGCTCTCAGCTATGTGTAATATATGTCCTCTGCTTGGGTACTGAACGACCGGATATTGCAATGACTACCTGCTTAGCGGACAAAGATGCCAATGGTAAATAATAGACCCTATTAGGTGAAAAAACACCAATGAGCAATGAGAGTTAAAAATGTGTTCTAGAAAATAAACCAAGCAGGTGTTATAGAATAATAACCGAGATATTATTATGGACTGAAGGAGTACAAAAATCTGTGGCACCAAAATCATGTTCTTGTTTTCAAGCTTGATGTGCTCCCCCACACCACCCCCACTCCGGGGATGATATGTTTGTGACATACTGACATCATCCACCTTCATCATCACTACTACTACTATTACTACTCCCTTCATACTTTCCTGTTTTCTGTGTCAAAAAAATCTTTCATTTCCTTTGAGATTTATGCAAAAGACAGAAATTTTGTGAAATATTAATGCTTTCTAAAAAGGAATGAAAACTTTATTTTGAGACAACCCCAAAAAAGAAAGTGTGAATTTTATTTTAAGGCCGAGGGAGTATTTAATTACCCAGTTTTATTGTGGGAAGTCTTCTGAGCCTCCAGTATATAAGGATCTTTGGGGCTCGAAATAATAATATCTAGAATAATTTGCAAAGAAATGTAGGGAGTAAAGGAATCCAATGAAAATTCTGACAAATCATGGTTAGTATGTTAGTATCAAGTAGCTTGGGTGTATCTGTCTCTTAAGAAAATATAAATGTGCTCAGTCAAATAATTTCTCAATTGTCTCCTTATAATCATGTGCAGGTTCAATTCTCTTTGATTTCCAGTCCCCAAAATGAAGTGATGCCTTCTTTGGTTAGTTTAAGCGATGAAGCCAAGAGAGATAGACTCAGGCAGATGATAAGACATACCAAAAAAAAGAACATGGATAAATTTCAGGATGGTTAATTAAATATGCATAATAGTAGTTAGAAACACTGAATCTCAGATTCAATTAAAACACTCAATCACTAAGACAATAATACATACCCCTAGCAAAGTCACCAAGATCCTAGCCCCACTGCAGGCCAAAAGATGTCCCAAAGATACACCTCCTCCATGCACATTCAGTTTATCCTGGGATACAGAGCAAAGAAAAGAAGGATCATAGCTTGAACTACTAACCAGTAATGCTAGAATAATTTTTAAAAAATTCGAAGATGATCAAGGGGAGAAAGAGTTGATGGCACTGATAAGAGACTCACAAGATCAAGATTGAGTAGTCTTAGATTGGCAAGGGCTACAACCTGCAAGAAATGAGAATGAAAAAAAACTCTGTGAGAGAATATTAAAATTTGTGAATAGTTCTATTTCTTGATTAAACTTATAGCTAAATTTAAGTTATATTTCGTATATAGCAGGCAAGTATATATGAAGTCACTGTATGTCAAGACATTTACAGCACCATTAGTCCATTGCATCATGTATATCAGAATGATGTAATAATAACTTACAGGTAACGGCAAAGAACAAGTGAATTCCTCCTTCACCAAAAACTGGAGCATATAGGTCATATGCCCCAAGCTTGTTACCAATTTAAGCCCAGAATTGGACTCAAGTCTGGAATTCAAGTACTATCTTCAGGTCAATGATATGTCTCAGGGTGGAAATATATGTAGACAGTGGCTTCAGCCCGGTCTCATTTTCTCCTCACATAAAGGAAGGAAAAGTAGAGTATGTATGAATCTGCAAGAAAGTATAAGAAACTAACCAGTATACCAACCTCATCATAGTAACATCTTAAGTGCAGCTTATCAAAGAAGCCTAAAAACTCTCAGGAATACTGCTAGCGAGATACACAAACCATGGGACAGGGGGTACCATACTTAAAGCATAATATTTATCCATCCTCCACAACCATGAAACTCAGGTATAAAAGAAAAATAATGAATACTATGAGTATTGTATTCAGTGTATTTGATGCTTGCATGAATATGCCACCTCGCTATTTGTATTCTTACAAAATAGATGTGCCCAGCTGCCTTTGATGCTTGCATGAATATACGACCCCTATAGAGTAAGAAGTAAACATGTTGGTAAAAGAATTTTAAAAACACCCACAAGAAAAATACTAAAAACAGTACCTCCTCATCAATCAGCACCATATCAGTGCTAATTAATTCTTTCTTCTTCTGAAAATGGTATGCATCCCACAATCGAGAAACACGCGCCTTAATCGCATAATTGGTAGACACACGTGTAAGTTTCTGAATAGCAATGTGATCATCCATCTTCTTGTTCAGTAAAGCAGATATGGGTGAAGACATCTTCAATGGAAAAAAAACAGTTCTGGGGACAAAGACTTGTGGGAACAAACTCAACTTATGGTAGTGCAGACTAACACCCAAATCATGAGTTTATTTATACATGGAGACAACATTGCTAGAACCCTAATAAACCAAGGGGCACAAACGCACATAATTCCAATTCATTGCAAGTAAATACACCAAGGCCCACTACATAATTGAAATTAATTAAAATTTACTCACCTTAAACGCAGGTAAACCTTCCCATGTAATCGGAAATAGGCCAGCCGGAAAGACATGAAAACATCGCCGCCCCCTTACTGTTTTTGTAATTGAAGAGTAACCGTTGAGAATAAACGTAACCGGCGAGTAATTGGAATTTGGAAAAGCTTAGCGTAAGATGCCGGCTGGCCCTTTCTGCCGCTTACCAGAGGAGTGCAAAGGACGAACAGCAATCCTATACACGTTGGTGTTTCATTTACACGCTGGCTCTATCCACTATGGCGTTACATTTACACGTTGGCTCCATGTCACATACACGTGTCAACACTCCAAGCATGAAACCCTCTTTTACATATATATATATAGGATATATAGGATAGGATATATAGGATATAGGATATAGGATATATAGGATGACTATTAAAAATCTACATGTTATGATTTTAAGTCTAATAACAAAGAATTAGACTCCATCTGTACACGAAATTCAAACTGTAGAATTGGAATTAGAGACAACAATTCCAATTCTGTTGTTTGGTATCACTAAAATATGTGAATTTGGAATTTCTGATACAAAAAATGAATTGGAATTGGAGAATTCAATTCCATAAAATTTAATTTTCAATTCAATTCCAATTTCGTCAATTCCGTGTACCAAACGGACTCTTAAGGAGGCTACCCCTGGCATTTGGTCTCCTTGATCTGATCAAGGTTTTTACCATTATATTTCCCGCGCTCTGTACCATGTTATAAATCTCCGCTGCTGTTTTTTTAACCTCCACAACAATTACCATCCAACTCACTGATAGATCTTCCTAATACCTCTTCCGATCCCAACAACTCAGTCAATTCAAGGAGAGAAATATCGATCGCCCATTCCATTTAACTTAATGCTTGATATTCACCACTCAGATACCAATCGTACCATCGTGATTCGATGTTTTCACCAGTAGGGAAGAACGTGAATTGGAGATTTTACCCATTGCCATTTTTATGTACACTGCAATCACCAATAGTCTCTACACGAACACAAGCCATCTTTAAAGTGATGAAACCTATTTGCGTCTCTCAGAATGATTTCTCGTCCGGTGACTTTAGCTATTAGCTTTATAGCAGAATGGCAATCCCCACAAACCCGCAGGTTTTTCATCACTCTTATAGCCGTTCCTTCTGGCAGCTTGAGAAGTCCGTATGCCACAGCCAACTTCTCGCTGTGATAATGCAGACTGTGCACCCTCTCCTCCTCTTCCAAATCATGAAGAACAAAGCTACCATCAGGGCAATACCCAGCTTCTTTTAACATGGAACCCAACTTATCCAACATTTTGATGATTGTTTGATGTTCCGGGTGGGGCTTGCTCTCTCCACCAGTGAACATGTGTACTTTCTTCTCCACCTCAAGCCAGCTGCAACCGGGTGACTTGCTCAATTTCCTTGAACGCATGTCTTTCCTGACTGCCGCAACATCACCCCACCTACCTTTTGTTGCATAAATGTTAGAGAGCAGGACATAAGGGCCAGGCTTCTGTGGCTCTAGCTTTAGAAGTTGTTTTGCAGCTACTTCGGCCAAATCCAAGTTCATATGCATCCTACAAGCACCAAGCAAAGAACCCCATATAACTGCATCAGCTGCCACGGGCATTTTTTCTGCCAAATCGATTGCCTCAGTCAAGCGACCAGCTCGACCCAGTAGATCCACCATGCAGGCATAATGTGCAGTTTCTGGTTCTACTAGGTATTTTGACTTCATGTAATCAAATATATCTTGGGCTTCTTTCACCTTTCCAGTGTAGCTACAGGCAGTCAGGAGTCCCACAAAAGTAACCACATCTGGTGCAATTCCCTGCAAACACATTTCTCTAAAGAAATCAAGAGCTTCTTCTCCTAAACCATTCTGAGCATAACCCGTGATGATAGAATTCCACATGACAGTATCTTTGGAAGATGATCTGTCAAAGACGCTTCTGGCCCTGACAAGATCACCACATTTAAAATACATCGTGATCAACACTGACGAGACATATACATCATCATCAAACTTGGATCTGATCAGTGATGCATGTATCTCTCTACCACAGTCAAGAGTCGCAAGGCTTGCACAAACTGATAGTATGCTAATTAAGGAAGGAAAATTGGGGCGGACGCCTTTACTTTGCATCAAACGAAACAAACTGAGTGCTTTCAATTCAAAACCTTTCCTTTCATAAACCTTAATCATAGCACTCCACGTCTTCTCATCCTTCTCCTTTGTTGAATCAAAAACCATCCTTGCCTTGTCAACCTCCCCATTTTGTCCAACACCGAGTATGATTGCATTACAAGCACCCGTTGGTTTTACTGGCATCTCTTCGAACAACTTCCATGCCTCCTCTATTCTTTCACTCTGAGTGTACCCCAGCAGCATAGATGTCCACGACACCTCATTCTTCTCAGGCATGACCTCAAAAAGCTTCCTAGCAATGTCTACCTTGCCATTTTGAGCATATCCAGTGACCATAGATGTCCATGAAAAAACATTCTTTACTTTCATGCCATCAAAGATCTCGCGTGCCTCATCCACCCTACCTGCCAGACAATACCCACCAATCATGCTTGTCATTGACACCACATCCTTCACTGGCATCATGTCATACAGCTTCCTTGCCTCGTCAACTCTCCCATTCTGAATCAACCCTCCCATCATTACCGTCCACGACACCACGTTTCTTTCTGGCATTTTCCAAAACAGGCTTTCAGCCTCGGATATCAACCCTCCCTCAACGTACCCTCTAACTAGAGCTGTCCACGACACGACATTCCTCTTGGGCATTCTCCCAAACACTTTTCGTGCCTCATTCACCATCCCATTTTTCACGTACCCTGAAATAAGCCCATTCCAAGAAACGATATTCCTGTAAGGCATTTGATCGAACAGTTTCTGGGCTTCAAGTGGCCGGCGATTCTGGAAGTAGCATGAGATCATAGCGTTCCAAGTAGCAACGCTTCTGTTGTGAAGTTGATCGAACACTTTGCGAGCATTATCGGGTTGACCCAAACGGGCAAAGAAAGATATCTTTGACATGGCTGAGGAGGACACATGGGTTGAAAAGCAGCGTTTATACGGGAGCTGGAATAAGAGACACATATCTGAGTTTATAGGCATCAAGCAACAACTTGTGATTGCTCCATTCACAACAACAATAAAAGAGGACTTGATACCAATTGGGACTGGTTCACGGCGTAATTGATAAAGTTCAATGCAGGAAGAAGCGATTCGGAGTCACTCCATAGAAAAGATCTTCGAGCATAGCCCTGCACAAACTAGGGCGGTGGGCCGGCCCGTCTATTCCGGTTGGGGTTTTATATTATCCTGAGTTTTGTTTCATTTTTTTCAAACGAGTCGGAATAGCTCGGTCCACAAACTTATCTCTCTTTGTCCTTTAATAATCTCGATCAAGATAAAACAAAACAGGTTCGTGTTGTCCTACTTTGTCATTGTCCGAAATTAGATACTCCGTATAAAAATATAAAATACATAAGCTGATGCAATCCACTTTGACTTGTAAAGTAATAAAAAATATTGATACTCCGTATAATGTTTTGAAAGTGTAGGGGTACTAAAATCAATTAGTACACTTATCATTGACATTTTGGCAAAAGAAGCTAGATTTGAGCTTCTTGGACTTGCACAAACAAGTGTCGTGAGGTTAGGTTTGTTTTATTCCTGCAATAGAGGGTTAGTACAAACACAAAAAACTTATTTGACGCATAAGAAAAAGTGGGATGAGTATCGGAAAGGCTAACAATCCCTCCTTTTTTATATTGACAAATAAGGCTTTTTTTCAATATTCAACAAGCATCCAACAACCATTTAACAATTATCATCAATTGTGAATCAAAATGCATACAAAGTTCTAAAGATGAGATGCCAACCATACAATGTTTTTATAGAGAGCATAATAACCATACAAAGTTTGAAATGATGATAAAAATGTTTGACCATAATAGAGTAAAGATGCATGATAGTGCCATCCTAGGTGTGATCAAAGTGGGATTTGGAGAGGTAAGAGAGAACACAAACAAGCTTGTCCTAGATTTCTCTTTGCTTTTGCTCAATTTGGTCTTGCTTCTTCTCACTAGTTCCCAACCGGGAGGCTATTTTCTTTATCAGAGCCATCACGTTCATTTTGATAAATTTGGTGAGGCCTTGGATATTTTTTGGATTTCCGATATGGCGAGAGCATTGAGTTGAGCGAGAGGTAGATGTTGATGTGGATCCATGTTGAGAAGGAGAGCGACGGAGTGAGCTAGAAGACCCTTTGGAAACGATTTCCTCTTGGCGTGTGGGCATAAAAGAGGTTGAGTGCCTATGAAGAAGACCACTAATTGATTCTGGGAGAGCTTTCCATTCGTGTTCGGTATAGCAAGTGCAAAAATGGCGTACTATACCATTACGAGCAAAGCAAGCGGCATCAAAGAGCTTTGGGTCACCCAAAGTAAGCGTAAGCAAATGGTTTGAAACAAGATGTGGGTAAGGAGTATTCCATATGGCTTGAAAGCATTGAATTTGCATTCCTCCATATGAAGGGTGAGGTAAGAGTGGTTGATGTGTTTTCTCTTGTAGATCAAATAAAGGAGGGTACATTCAAAGATGCCAATAGTTTGCTCTTTGTTGATAATCGGGGCAATGTTCTCCTTTATGATTCGGAGAAGGATAAGTTGATTCGCTATAAGGTCTTAAGCCTTTGGGTGTTGAAGGGTTCCACCGAATTGGGAATATGACTTAAGGGGAACCTTGTTGAGGTATCTAAGACAATCAAGAGATGAAAAATATCCCGAGTCAGAAATTCAACCTTTCTTAGCATACACGGCTAACCCACCTTCACAAAGGAAAGCAAATTATTCAAGGCACCAGGAGTACTGTTGATAACGTTACTATAAACGGTGGCCTTGAGAGTTAGATACCTTTCCTGTGTGGTAACCTTGGCGGTGCTATGGAACTCATGTACAAGGTCTGGATACACGGGAGCGGAAGAGCAAAGAAAGTTGAGCCAACCTTGGTGTGCGAGAAAAGTCTCAAGTTCTTCCGTCAAGTCTTAAGTGTGGAGCATCATTCCATCGATCATATTTGGGTCGGGGAAGGTGCGCAATTGGGTGGAAGATGAAGCCATTTGAAGAAGTTTTGATGAAAGGCTTCAAGAGAATTGAGAGATATAGAGAATGAGGAGGGTTACGGTTGTAGATCCAAGTGACGGCCAAAAAAACAATGTTAGGATTTTAAAGGATTTTAACAGTCACGCGGGTGGGGGATAGATAGTCATTACAAATCTAAATGTAGAAGTTTCTTTAAAGTACATGTCCAAATCAACATAACATCACTACACCCTATTTTACATAACACAACAGTTTCATTGCCCAAAATAGCTAAAAAAGAAATCTCCCTCCATTAACTTAAAATTTCTCACCTAAATTTAACACTTCCTCGGCTATAAATATTTACTTTCCTTTTTTAGATTATAAGCACTCCGTACTACGAGTACATCCAAAATGAAATTTCTCTCTCGCCCAAAAATTCATTGGCCGATCGCACCTTGCACACAAGAGGCGCAAATTATACCATACATCCGGCTGTACGGTTCTTCCCGTACAGCCGGCAACTAATTAGGGCAAACGCCAAACTGTGACCTGCTGCAAGAACGGCCGACCATGAAGGAGAAGGAGGCTGCGCGATCGATCGCTGATTACGAGGCTGCGCGAAGGTCCAATCGGCGATTCACGATGAAGATGGAGGTTGTTTGGAAGTCTGATCGGCAATTGAAGGATGAAGGAAGGATGAAGGTCTGATCAGCGACAGCTGCTTGATATGCGAAGATCTGATCGCGATTCCAGTTGCTCCCGATCTTTTCTTCGGGATTTCCAGTTTATTTATGAATGGTAGGTTGTTTAAGATTGAGTACTAGGTTATATGGGAATGAGTACTAATGTGTTTTAGAATGAATATTATGTTATACGTAAATAAATATTGAATAAATTTGTGAAAATGAATACGACGTTATTTCTGAATGAGTACTGCGTTATTTCAGAATGAATACCACATTTTTCAAATGAACTATTATGCTTGTGCGAGAATGGGTACTACTTTATTTCGGAATGAGTACTACATGAATGTACTTATCTCTAGGTACATCCGGATGTACCATATACGAACTCCACAAGAGGGGAGTATCATTTTTTAGTTGAAAAAAAAATCAAAATTCGTTTCAAGTGTTTCACAGAATAAGAACCCTAGAAACCCAAAGCAGCGGGTCTAAGACCGGCGGCATCCATGAATCTAGCAAAGCGAGTCGCTACCTCTTTCGTTTCCGCTCAATCCTTCAGAAGACCCTTGAATCAGTTTCAGGTGACTCAGTTCTTCCATCTCTCGCCCTCCCATTTCTCAAAATTCTGCACTCCCACGAACAGTATTCTCCATGCGAATCCCAACCTTTCGTCTTCAATGATGCCCAATTCGTTACTAGAACACGTTCTCTGCAACGATTGGTCCGCTAAGCTTGAGAAGTCGCTGTCGGAAGGATATGGCTCTCAGTTGAGCCATGAAGCTGTTATGTATGTGTTCAAAAGGCTCACTGCAGACCCTCGAAAAGCTCAAAAGTTCTTCAATTGGCTTGTAAATGTAAATGGCTTTAAACCGAATTCTTCCGTTTATAGCTTGATGCTTAGGATCTGCGCAAACAAGGATTCAATGAAGGAGTTTTGGGTGATTTTCCGGGAAATGAAGGAAAAGGGGATTGTTCTTGATGGAGAGACTTATAAATCCATATTTTACGGGTTCCGCAAATCAAGAATGGATACTGCTGCAGCTGAATTAGAAAAGTTTTACAAGCTTACGATGAAAGAGAACGCTACTTGTGATTCGGTGAATGAGGTGGTCTCGGTGATTAAGCGCTCAGATTGGGGGTACGGGGTGGAGAAAGAATTGTTGGCAAAAAACATCTTGCTTTCGGATGAGTTTATACTTGGAGTTCTGAAGGAACTTAGAGATGCACGGTGTCCACTGAAGGCCGTGAAGTTTTTCGAATGGGTAGAGGAAGGTCTCAATTATGAGCACAATAGCATTACTTATAATGGGATTCTTAGGGTTCTTCCCCAAGAAGATTCGGTCGAAGAGTTTTGGAGTATGCTGAGAAAGATGAAGACTGCAGGTTATGATATGGATCTTGACACATATATAAAGGTCTCGAGGTCTTTCCAAAAGGCTCGGAGATTTGAAGATGCTATCAAACTTTTTGAGCACATGATGGATAGCCCATATAAGCCATCAACTGGTGAATTTACTATACTTTTACGAAGCATCGCAACTCGTGCCCCTTCCGATATTGATATGATATTTAGGGTAGTGAAAAAATTTGAGGAAGCGGGAAATACACTGTCAAAGCCAATTTATGATGTGATTCACAGGTCTATGACTGGCCTAGGGCAATTTGACGAAGCAGAAAAGATTATGGAAACCATGAGAAATGCAGGGTACGAACCCGACAACATCACTTACAGCCAACTGATCCATGGGCTTTGCAAAGCAGGGAGAGTGGAGGAAGCCTCAGAAGTAATAGATACAATGGAAGAACTAGGATGCGATCCGGATATCAAGACTTGGACTGTCTTGATTCAAGGCTACTGCAGAGCTAATGCAGTCGATAAGGCGCTGCTTTGTTTTGCTAAGATGATGGAGAACAATGTGGATGCGGATGGTGATCTCTTGGATGTTTTGATAAATGGTTTTCTCAGCCAGGGAAAATCAGTTGGTGCATATCAATTCCTGACAGAGATGGCGAATAAGGCTGAATTGCCACCATGGCAAGCAACATACAAGACTCTGATTCAAAAGTTGTTGGGGGAAATGAAACTCGAAGAAGCACTGGATCTACTCCGCGGGATGAAGAAGTTCGATTACCCTCCATTTGTTGAACCCTTTTACCAATACATTTCCAAGCTAGGGACAGTAGAGGACGCAATGGAGTTTATGAAGGTCGTCAGTAAGGGGTGTCCGTCTGTTGCAGTGTACCAGCATATCTTTGAATCATTCTTTGAGGAGGGTAGACTCTCCGAGGCAAAAGATCTTCTTTACAAGTGCCCGCACCATATCCGTAAACACCCTAGCATTTGCAGCCTGTTTGGTTCTACAAACAACCACAAGAGAAGACAGAAGTCTGTAACTACTTCCTAGGTTTAAAAAGACTGGCATTCAAACACTCTCTGGACTAGTGCAGGGGTGTTCTTTGCACATTGGAATGAAGTTGGCCTTTGTGACATCAATGGGTTACTTGCCATGTTAATGCATCGTTAGTGCCTTAGTGGTGCCTTATTTGGCCCGATGCAGTTAAAAGAAAATATAAAAAAAATGTGCAATAAATTTTCTTTTTTCTGAACATCCCAAAACGATTTCTTGTTTCTTTTAAAGAAAGAATTGTGTGATTCATATTATTTTTCCCTTGATATCATAGACTACTTTAACTATCCAAATTTAACTTTTCTTACATTTTATGTTTTTTTATACGTGCAGAATATGTGGTACCCCGTTTCTATTTAACTGTCTGATTTGCTTTTCAAACACAAAGTTTAACCAACAATATCTTTTAAAATATGCTAGCAAAAACTATCAAACATAATACATTCAAAATATATTTCAAAATTGTCTTTTAAAATTTAGAAGAATTTGTCAACAAAGAACTCTATTTTGTTAGGTCATGTGTTATGGAGTGTTTGACCACTGCTATACATGGGATATGTGGCAACGGCGCAATGTAATCCTATCACCTCTATCACTCGAAATTATGTTAGGCCAAGTGTTATGACGAGATTTGGAGCACCACATAGGAGTCTTTTAAGCGAGTGAGTGTGGGCAGTAATTGTGTGTTATGTGACTGTAGTAATGTGATTTATCTTGATTGATTGAGGTGATATGTATTAAATTTTGATTGATCGAAAATTTAAAAAATAAAAATAAATAAAGGGAGGGGAGGGCCACGCTTGTGATTGGTGGCCTTGCTGTGTAATGGAGGGTGGGTCAGAGGAGGGGCTTGACCACCCTCCTTCACACTCCATAGCACATACTCTTATTGTACGGCTTGACAATTCTTGATCAAATTTTTGAGTAATGATTATTTATTTTAGTATTTTATTTTTTTGTTTTCTAACTAACTTTTTAGTATATAAAAATACTCCGGTTTATAACTTTAATTTTAAAGACTAATACATTCAATTGCAAAAAAAAAACAAATTGAACTCACTTAAAAAAACGGAGTACAAGAAAAATGCTCAACCAAATCTCTAGCCTCAAGTGGACCGTTCCAGCTTCTGGGATCGATACAAGGGACAGAGCTAGCCTCAAGAGGTCCATTCCAGCTTCATAGGACCATCAAAGGGACGACGCCAGCCTCAAGTAGTCCGTTCTAGGTTCTAGGGTCCTTTCAAGGATTGCATCTAGGGAGTCCAGTGAGATGTCCCACTATCCAAAATTCCTTCGTCCTCCAAGGAGCAAGGGAGTCCAGTGAGATGTTCGCCATCCACTGTCCAGAGTTCCTCCGTCTTCTAAGGAGGAAGGGAGTCCAGTGAGCTGTCTGCTGTCCATTGTTCAGAGTTCATCCGTCCTCTAAGGAGGAAGGGAGTCCAGTAAGCTGTCCGCCGTCCATTGTTCAAAAATCCTCCGTCCTCTAGGGAGCAAGGGAGTCCAAAGAGATGTTCGCTGTCCACTGTCCAGAGATCCTCCATCCTCTAGGGAGCCAAGGAGTCCAGTGAGCCGTCCGACGTCCACTATCTAGAGATCCTCCGTACTCTAAGGAGCAAGAGAGTCCAGTGAGGTGTTCGCCATCTACTGTCTAGAGTTCCTCCTTCCTCTAATGAGCAAGGGAGTCCAATGAGCTATCCGCCATCTACTGTCCAGAGATTCTCTGTCCTCTAAGGAGCAAGGGTGTCCAGTGAGGTGTCCGCCATTCACTGTCCAGAGATCCTTTGTCCTCTAAGAGAAAGGGAGTCACAGTCAGGTGTTTGCCATCCACTGTCTAGAGATCCTCCTTCCTCAAGGAGCAAGAGAGTCTAGCTAGCATGTCTGACCATTGTCTTGCGAGTCCCATCCATAAGAAATACAATGGACGAGTTGAACAAGTTGAGAAAAGTAATACTGTAAAAGAGTAGAGAGTATAGATTTGTAATTCGGTCAAAGTTAGATGATCGGATTACTAGAGATAGTCATAGACTCCCGTACTAAGATAGAGAAAAGAGTTAGAAAGAGAGATGGACGCGAAATGTCTATCCTTCAATAAGATCGGAGAGCCCAACCACCGTAAGATAGATATCGGGTTGTGGTTTTAAAGACTCCCAAAGAATATTGAAAAGCGAGTCCAAAGAAAGTCCTCTCCCAAGAGGCACCAAATCGAAAGAAAGTCCTCTTCCAAGAGGCCCAAGAAAGAAAGAAAAGTTATCCTTCAGGAGGCACAAATCCCCGACAAAAGTCCTCTTCCCCGAGGCACCAAGTGTTTTACTCCAACTCTATTCTTTTTCCAAATAAATTCAAATTTCAAACCAAAGAAATTCAATTTCAAACGTGAATCATATAGTTTGACCAGATTGCATCCCCTAGTTTATGCCCATTTGTTTTAATACGTGGGCGGGCCGGGGAACCATTGTTTCGTAGCACCCAAGCCAAAAAGCCTTAAAAGCACGCCTCCATAGAACAATCTGTCTTTCTCCCAGTTTTCAACCTTCTACCGATCTGAGAAATGTCGACGATTAGCACCGACGATGGGTTGGCCGGCGGCGTGAGGTACCCGAAGACCAAGATTGTCTGCACGCTCGGGCCGGCGTCCCGGTCAGTGCCGATGGTCGAGAAGCTTCTCCGTGCCGGGATGAACGTCGCGCGCTTCAATTTTTCCCACGGATCTCACGAGTACCACCAGGAGACCCTCAACAATCTCCGTCAAGCTATGGAGAACACCGGTATCCTCTGCGCCGTCATGCTCGACACTAAGGTATAACGAATTACGCATCATGTTTACTCTACCTTCCTGGATTCGATGGATCGCTCGTTTGTTTATGCGGGTTAGGTGTTTGAATTTTGTTTATGCGGGTTAGGTGTTTGAATTTTGGTCTGGCTGATTTTTTGTGTTCCATTTGTCTACTTTCTTAGCAGATCAGTAGATCATTCTATATTACTCCGCCATATAACTTTCATATAGAGTGTGTTCACGAAAATCAAACTGAAGGATTAAAAACTATTAACAGATGGATCATGAGAAAAATTATTCACAACAATCAAAAACCATTTCGTGCTGCTTTTCATATGTTTACAAAGTTTAGAAGTGTTGATTTTAGAAGTCATTTGAAGAAGAACAAAATGGTTTCTCATTGTCGTGATTTTTATTTTGATTTTTTTTGAGGATTGGTCTATGTGTTAAAGTATCTTTCCATCCTACAGGTTTAGAATAAAAAGTGGTATTCCCGTGAAAAGTGAGAACGACAGCACCTTTGTTGTTTAAAAAAAGTTCCACTTATTTACAAAAATGCCACCACAAATTTTGCAAAATTTTAAGGATTTTTGCTTCATCTTAGCCAATTTCATCTGAAATCCAGTGCACCATAGCCCTTCTTATTTTTCATGAGAAGTGCGCTTTTTATTTGAACCAAAGTTTCTCTCTACACACACATACACATACATATATACACAATCATACGTACATATTCACACACATGCATATATAAAATGACAACACTTAGTGTGTTACAACACTTGGACAACATTGATATCTCTCGGATTATTTTTATACAAAACCACTGTTGGATACAATATTTTCACACAAATCATCATCTTGAAATTTCATAAAAATCAGTAATTGTTTCCCCGCCAAATCATATCATTCTTATTTTCAAAAGTTTCAGAACTAGTGTTTTATAGCTATCTATGCCTCCGTGCCCGACCCTCTCATAGCTATTCCCTAAATTCTTTGTTATTCTGCAGGCATATATGTGGTTTTCCACAGTTATTCCTTCATTTTTATTATGACTCGTCTATAGAGTTGTATATGATATCATAATTGTTTCTTTGTTTATTTTAAAGGGTTGGCGATCAAATTCAATTGCGGTTAAGTAGACTAGGGAGAGCAAGAATAGGTTGCTTTAGACATGTATGACGTACACCTAGAGATACGCTTGAAAGAAAGAGTGATAACTTGGTAGTTTCCTGATAAGAGAGAAAGATGTAATGTAAGCAAAACATGAGGCTCTTAATTTTGTAAACTTTCTCGTAATAAGCTAAATGAACCTGGAAGATGTAGCATGATGATGGCTGAATGGAGAATAGAATATTTTGCTGGAGATGCCTAGATATGGCTTCTTTAAGGAAAACCTACATTGGGGTTAAGGCTCAACAATTTAGCATCGATATTATTGTTTTTTAGTTCTACTCTTACTTGAGATACACCACCCTTGCAGCAATAAATTTAATGTGAGTTGTAAGTGTGGTCATAATTAGATGGACATGTTAACTTGATTAACTCTGAATGTGAGTACGAGCTGTTAGTAAGATGCACCTATTGTTCTACAGTGGTCGTATGTATAGGCGTATAGCATTGGACCTTACATGTGTGTTAATTTCAACTATAAACTTATGCATTGCAGGGTCCGGAAATTCGAACTGGATTTTTGAAAGACGGCAAACCAGTCCAACTTAAACAGGGGCAAGAGATTACCATTTCAACTGATTACAGCATCAAGGGGGATGAAAATACGATCTGCATGAGCTATAAAAAGTTGGCTGAGGATGTATATCCTCACAGTGTTATATTATGCGCGGATGGCACCATATCATTTACTGTTTTGTCGTGTGATAAAGAGAAAGGGCTTGTGCGATGCCGCTGTGAGAACTCTGCTGTTCTTGGTGAGAGAAAGAATGTCAATCTTCCTGGGGTTATTGTGGATCTGCCAACCTTGACAGATAAGGACAAGGATGATATCCTAANTTGTAGAAGTCCGAAAGCTGCTGGGTCCACATGCAAAGAGAATCATTCTTATGTCAAAGGTTTGATCCCATCGATCACAGTGAATCTTTTTTCCCTGATAATACATGAACTTTAGAACTATTGATTTTATACTTTAGTTGGAAGGCTAATAGTCCTTAAGCAATCAATATCAACCGCACAATTGTTTCCTTTTAAACACAATGGGATGATTATTTAAGGGATAAGGACTAGCCATAAAGAAAATAGGGTGGAGCATTAAAATGTATGCATATTTGGCTTGTTTTTTCTGAATGATCAAATTTTTAAGAAGGTGATTTATTATATTTGGTTCCTAGGTTGAAAACCAAGAAGGCGTTGCCAACTTTGATGACATTCTTGCAAACTCTGATGCATTTATGGTGGCGCGTGGTGATCTGGGAATGGAGATTCCAATCGAGAAGATATTTTTAGCTCAGAAGGTGATGATTTACAAGTGCAATATCCAGGGGAAGCCCGTGGTGACTGCAACCCAGATGTTGGAATCCATGATCAAGTCTCCCAGGCCGACTCGTGCCGAAGCCACAGACGTTGCCAACGCCGTTCTTGATGGGACTGATTGTGTGATGCTCAGCGGGGAAACCGCCGCAGGGGCTTATCCAGAACTTGCCGTGAGAACCATGGCCAAGATATGTATAGAAGCCGAAAGCACAATCGACTACGGGGACGTGTTCAAGAGAGTAATGGCGAATGCGCCCGTTCCCATGAGCCCACTGGAGAGCCTTGCGTCTTCGGCTGTCCGGACAGCAAACACGGCCAAAGCCTCTCTCATCCTTGTTCTGACCAGGGGAGGGAGCACTGCCAAGATGGTGGCCAAGTACAGGCCAGGAATGCCGATATTGTCCGTTGTTGTGCCCGAGATAAAGACCGACTCCTTTGATTGGTCCTGCAGCGACGAGTACCCTGCGAGGCATAGCCTTATCTTCAGGGGGCTAGTCCCCGTCCTGTGCGCGGGGTCCGCCAGGGCATCGGACGAAGAGTCAACCGAGGAAGCACTTGAGTTCTCGCTGCAACATGCCAAGGCAAAAGGGCTCTGCAAGGTTGGAGATGCCGTTGTGGCTCTTCACCGTGTTGGAACTGCCTCTGTGATCAAGATCGTCACCGTGAAGTGATTGGTTGATTGAATCTTCCGGAAGAAGGGGCTTCGTCGGTTCACACTTCTCTTGTTACTTCGTATTGTTTGCGCGCTGTTCTAGACGCTGGTATTTTTCTGTCCAGCCAATTTTCCAAACATACAAAGCTGGATTATGCTTACATTTCTTGCATTTTTGTCCTCACAAACTGCTATCATATACTCTGCCCAGCCAGGACAGAGAGTATTCATCTTTTGCACTTAATATGAAGAATTCTTATACTCATTAATAAATATGCCCTATGCACCATATTTTTAAATAATATATGTCCATTTGGTGCGTGTTATATAAAAATGTTGTAAGAATAACACACATGATTCTCACTTAGTTTTGCAGTCCAACTAAGAAAGTGACATTTTTTCCAAAAGAGAATCTCACATTAGAAACTATCACCACTAACCAACCAACCAACAACCTAGTTAAATCCCACAAGAGTAGGGTCTGGGGAGGGTGTGTGTACGCAGACCTTGCCCCTACTCGAAAGTAGAGAGGCTGTTTCCAAAGAGACCCCCGGCTCAACGTCGAAAGTTGCATTGTTTGACTAACTGCTACTTCATTAATTAAAGAAGCGCAGATAGTTTAGAGATCCATTTTGATTTATTTCATCACACCCCAAAGCCAAAAATGGTGAAATTTTGGCTCCATCGGAGATAATGGAAAATAGAAACTATCACCACTATCACCATAATTCCAACCGCATAGGGTTTGGTGACATGAAACTTATAGTTTCAAAAACCATTGCCTAAAATTAACAGACACTATCAATTCATACAAATTACAGCATATTACAAGCCAAGCCAGCATGCCCTCATAGCTACAGATGGGGCAACAGCACAAAGCTAAAAAACCCAGAACTCATAATGGTGTAGTATCATGTAAACTCAATATGGCATTGCGAACGCCAATCTAATCCTCTTGTGTATGAGACCTTGAGCCCGCGGAATTTGTCGTGGTTGAAGGAGAAAGCAAGTTGCCAAATGGCCATGGAATCGGCACTGAAAATTGTCGCCCAGAACTTCCAACCCTATTATTATTATTATTATTATGCCCTCCTCCATTGTCAAAGTCACTAGCACTAGGCTCATTGGAGTCCTCGTCGCAAGGTAACTGGTGCCTGCAAACAGGGCAGGAGCTATGAAGTTCCAGCCATGGAAGGATACACCCACAATGGAACTTATGCTTACAAGGCATCTCCTTTGCTTCTGAACCGATCTCAATGTCGTCCAAACAAACACAACACTGCAAGGAATCCTCAACTCTCACCACGGGCATTGCCTCAACTGCCTTCTTCTGAGCCGGTGGGGTCCCATACCGGTTCGGGTCATTCTCAGCCAATTGCTGCAGTAGCACGTCCAAACCCGGCCCGAAGAAGTAGTCGCCCAAGGAGCCTACAAGAGGGGTGGGGTTGTCCGAACTGTTATTATTCGATCCGTGGACGATGATGGATTGGTTAAAAGGGTTTATCAAGATCACGCGCCCCCTTCTCTCCCTTTCATTTTCATCATCTCCATCATCATCATCATCATCATCATCATGCCTGGCAAAAGTTTCATCAGTCATTCCAGCTTGGATGCCTTGGATGAGTTGGAGGATTGTGGCTGAGCTCCTCCTCCTCCTCCTACGAATGATGGAGTCCAGTTCCCTATAGAGCTCGGTATGTTCGCTAGCATTGTTACCCACACCTTCTTCTTCTTCTTCTTCTTCTTCATGATCATCATCAAGCTCTGCATGTCTGAGTCTGGTACTGCTTGTACTAGTAGTAGTGTATCTGTTGCGCTGGCGAAGGCTGCTTCTCATCATGCCCAGTAAGATTGGGGCCCAAAGGGAGAGTGCGGCGTGTTCTGAATCAAAAGGGATCTCGCTGCCACTGCTCTCGGAGCCTACTGCAGTTTCCATTTCCTCCACAAAGCCACCTTCACAGAAGGGGCAGTTTAACGGCTCAATCTCCCTTATCGGGCTCACCACCCGAGAACACCCATAACACCAACATCTTAGTCCCCCGGCGTCCTCCATCTGCCCTTACTGGGTCTGATTTTTCTCTCTCAATTTCCCTATTGAAATCACATTTACACTATGTTTGGTTCAAGGAATTTGAGAGGGAAAGGAAAAGAAAATGAGAAGGAAAACTTTTTTTCTTGTTTGGTTAGAGAGGAAAAGAAAAGAAAAGTGGAAGGAAAAGAAAATGAGAAAGCAAAATGTATTAAGAGGATGGAAAACCAAATTCCTCCCATTTTGGTGAGGAAACTAAGGGAAAACCATTTTCTTTTCTTTTCCTTCCAAATTCCATGAACCAAACATAGTGTTAGGAATTTATTGCATGTAGAAATCATACTTGATACAATGAAGAGTCATGCAAGGTCACACCAGGTTTGACACCAAGAGTTTCACATACATGTCCGGACAGTATGCTAGTGTCTGTGACACAGACACACTCGTCATGGTCTGTGCATGTATGTTAAACACTTGGTGTCGAACTTGGTGGGTTTCTAGCATATTTGTATAATGAAGAGTCATGCAAAATCACATTTAGGAATCTACTGCATGTAGAAACCATACTTGATATAATGAAGAGTCGTGCAAGCTCACACCAGGCTAGATACCAAGTGTTTCACATACATATCCAGAGACACACACACATTGGTCATTGTTGTGCATGTCATTTAAACACTTGGTGTCAAACTCTTGGTGTCAAACTTGGCGGTTTTCTAGCATGTTTGTTTAGTGAATGCATTCAACCTTAAAGACTACTTAGTCAGCTACCCTCCAATGTTCTTATGTTTTCCATTGTAGATCCAACCACAAAATATTAACATTTGTTGGGAGAATGGGGCTCCATGTGGTTGTCAAGGGAATCTTCTTTTACACCGAATGCTACCGATTAAGCCATTTAAACAAAATAACTATTCCCAAACAGGCCTTAAGAGATAAAATCCTGTAAAAGCTTGAATGTTAGGTGCTGTGGTGGGGAAGAAGAATAACAGAAAATAAGATTCCCCTCTGTCCCAAATTCTCATGCTTGTTTTCTTTTTAAGGTTTTCCAAGTTATAATGTCTATTTTCATTTATATAAAATATTAGTGAGGTGTGCCCTCACCTGCATAAATCTCAACTAATTAGTTTTCACTTTGATACAGTGTAATATCAATACACATGAACAAAATACTTGAATAAAAATCCATTTCCAAAATAGGAAATGGAATAAAACTATAGGTTGTGGAGCCTGATTAATATTTGATGTAAGGTTAAATATTGTTCTTCGTGCGGTTCAACCTTGATTGTTTTCCAAAATTTAGGTCATACCTTATTGTTCTTTACCTATTATATAGTGTGTATTCTGTGTAACGGTGTGAATCGTCAATATATAGTCCTAATGGCGTGGCATTAACCTACGGCATTCACCACGTTTCTTCTGTGCATTTTTCTCTCCCAAGCTCTTAGTTTTCTTTCCAATTTCTTCGTTTTTCATGTTCCGCCATGTTTGGTTTGTTTAACTCGGAAAGAAAGGAAAAGAAATTGGTTTCTCCATTTCCTCACCAAATTGGAAGAAAAACTGTTTTCCATCTTAATTTATTTCCTCATCTCATTTTCTTTCCCTCCCCACTTTTCTTTTCTTTTCCCGTCTAACAAACAATAACTTCTCCCCCCATTTTCATCTTGATTGCGAGTGAAAGTCTTCGACCCTAACATCAAATCATTGCAGTTTTTGAACAAAACACAAAAATAGCTAGCGTCCGACGATTTCTCTCTTGTTGTCAAATAACCCAACTCGAAACTCGGCTCCAATACCATGTCAAGAAAACCAACCCAACCAAAAGCTCAAGCTTCTGGTCGTATGCTTAGGGAAAAAATGTTTTTATATTCCAACACTTATTATTTGAGAAAGAGCAAGGACCCATATACATATCTTCAAAGAGAAAATCTTCTCTCATTATGAATTATTATTTGCTTTGTTTGAGCAAATTAGTAGGGAAAAAATGCATATAACAGCAAGAACAGGAATGAATAAAGGGAAAGGAGGGCAAAAAGGGTAAAATTACCGGGTTCAGAGCTTGAATGAGAGCGAGGGAGATTGAACCTCCCTCTGATTTTTTCTTTTTGGTTGAGAATTTTGGTTGGGTTATGGAGAGGTATGGGATTAAAGACTGCTTTGAGAGCGGTAGAAATGGAAAGGAGAAGAGTGGGAAGGGGTGGGGCAGGAAGCCATACCCTCTTACAAACCACTCATCAAATCACCCATTTCATCAATTTGTTGGCCATTCAAATAAGGCTACTGCCTCCCTCCCAAAAATAAAGGCCTTCTTTGTTTGGAAGATGGTTGTTGCCGTGTGTTGCCTCGTTGCTATATTGACCCATTAATTATATTCTCTCCGTCCAAAAGTTTCTTTTCGGCTAAACTCACTTATTTGTTATTCAACTTTATGAGTCGTGCACGATTGATCCTTCAAGTTTCAAAAGTCCATAAATAGTCATTCAACTTTAGGAGTTATGCATGATTGGTTATTCAAGTTTTAAAAGTACATAAATAGTCCTTCAAGTAAACATCAGCCTTTGAGATGAGGTTCTTTTGACGGTAAATGTTAAAAGCTAAATGGAGTATTAGCTGCATATAAAACGAAGTAGTCGTACCTAGTGGAATTTACTCATATTATATGGAACTAGCATTCCATTTAGCTTTTAATGTTTACTGTCAAAAGGACTTCATCTACAGGGCTGACGTGTACTTGAAAGACTACTTATAAACTTTTAAAACTTGAATGACCAATCGTGCACAACTCATAAAGTTGAAGGATTATTCGTGGACTTTTCAAACTTGGAGGACCAATCGTGCACAAATCATAAAGTTGAAAGACCAATGGTGGATTTTAGCCTTTCTTTTTCGATTTGACTTGTCATAAAAATTAAAAAAAAAGTTAAAAAGTATAAAGACTTTTGATGTATTGTCATTGATATGATGAAATAAAGTGAAGGATATTGATAAAAATGGGGGGTGTAATAACATTTTCATTAAAAGTTTTTTGCTAAAATAGGAAACGGGAAAAAAAATTGGATGACCCAAAATAGAAAATTGGAATGAAATTAATGGACGAAGGGAGTGTGTTTTCGGCAAACTCAACTTCTTATGAATAGTTTTTATAGATTAAATTATATTTAAAAATACTAACATATATTTCTTTTGCCCCAAAATGTTCACCACATTACGCAAAATAAAGCGCAATTTCAAGTTTTTTAAATTTATTTATTTAAAGATTGGTATAGAATTAAAAATAAAAAATTTATGTATTTAAAAACTACATTAAAAGTCCTTCAAAGCAAGAGGTGTTATGAGTATTTTATTTTATCAGTTAATCGATAAAACATACAAACACATAAAAGTTTTTGTAATTTTTAAAATAGTGAATTGTGACATTCTTTTTTGGACAAAAAGAGTTTAAATTTATATGATATACTTTATTCATCCTAAAATAATTTACCTCTGCAATATTACAGGGACTCAAAAACTTTTATTCCTTTGTTTGCATATTTGATTAATCAATTGATAAAATAAATTTTTTGTCATCTCTTCTTTTGTAGAACTTTTGAAATAGTTTTTTAAATGTCTAAATTTTATTTTTATTTCTATACAAATTTGTAAATTATACTCTGTATCCTTTAAAAATCATGAGATTTTGCACGTCGTTTGAATAAGAAATATCATTCTAGGACGGAGGAAGTAATATGTTTTGCAATATAATATAATTTATATACATATTATTTATTCATATGTGTTCATTCTTTCCTCAAATAAAATTTTAGGTGCTATTCTATAGTCACAACTATTAGTTTCTTCCAACTCTTTCCCGTTTTTTCCAACTCCTTCCCGTTTCTTTCAATTGTTTCCTACTCCTTCCCGTTTCTTTCAATTGTTTCCTGTTCCTTCCAACTCCTTCCAGTTCTTTCCAACTCCTTCCAATTTTTTCTAACTTCTTGCAGTTTTCTTCAACATTCAACTCTAAAATTTTAATCCAAAACAATAGGGTTTGAAATTTCAATCCAAAACAATAGGGTCTAAAACTTCACTGACACACACAAACCCTCAATGTATTTGCATGCACACCCAATCTTTCATATATACACATTTAATACACATTTATAATAATTGTCTGTGTGCATGAAGAATTATTGTTTATGTATGTATGTGGAAAGTTTGGTGTGGAATTGTCATTAAAATTAGAGTAAAAATTCCATAATTGATCCTTTATAACAGCAGAGTTTCCCTATTTAGTCCTCTATTATCAAATATTACCCTAGTGGTCCTTCTTTTATTGGTATCTTTCCACAAATAGTCCTTTTTTGATCTTCTATCTTGTTGGTGTTAATTTAAGGGCTAAAAGTGCAATTTCACAATGATAATATATCTTTTTTGTCATACACAATTCTAAAGGTTGTTCCGTTTGCGTCGTTTGTGAATTACAGTCGCTTTCTACTACCACCATATTCTACAAATGTGGTCTTTCGTTGAAATCCACAATCATAGTCATTATTTTTGTGTTATCCGCTTAACCAATATCAGAGCACGTCACTAGACATAATGTTGATGTCAAATTATACTTTTAGCCTTTAATTTAACATTAACATGGCAGAAGATCAAAAAATGACCATTTGTGGAAAGGCGCCCTTAAAAAAAGGACTACGGATGTAATATTTGATAATAGAGAACTAAATATGGAAACCCCCTGTTATAAAGGACCAATTATGAAATTTACTCTAGCCATAACGTTAATTTAGAAACGGTGTTGTCACAGCAGTGTAGTGCTCTTATATTTGGTTTTATATTAAATGTTCCATGAATAGTAAAATTAATAGTAATTTTATTTCTCATTAAGTGAGCAACTGGGAGTGGTTTTGTATAGATAGAGTGTTGCTATGATTGTCATAAAACTTTGTTTTGAAGTGATAATATTATGTATTAGGGTTCCAAAAGAATTGGTTTGATTGCAATTGTCATTTATAATAATTTGTGATGTGAAGTATTAAAAAAATTCATTTGTCCGAGCAAAAATCTAAGTGTCTCATTCAATCCCAACTTTTGAATCACCTTTGGGTTAAAAACAGTAAACGCAAATTCATGTTTGGAAAAAAAAAACATGAGCAAAAAAACGCGGAAAAAGTAACGTGGACGGCAGGATTCGAACCTGCGCGGGCAGAGCCCACATGATTTCTAGTCATGCCCGATAACCACTCCGGCACGTCCACTTCACTTGACAACCAAAAGCTTGGGCGCATATATAAACAAATAGGCCGTATAAAAGAGCAAAAGGAGAAAAACAAAGAAAGTCTTCACCCTCGTTCTGATCGCTAACACTTTCCCTGGAAAAAATTCCGCAAACGCATACTCAAGCTTGTTCTTCATCGAATGAAGATTTATCTCTTTACCCGATCCATTCTAGTACTTGGGCTCCAAAGTGTCCCTCGTTTTCGATGATTAGCTTGCGTGTGTTATAAAAGATTGTACAGATTAAATGGACGGAGAATTTGAACGACCCTGCAATTAAAATATGAAATAAATCTGAAATTTTAATTTATTCGAACTAATTACAATAAGTATAACAAAATAAAATTAGCTTTCGATCTTCAAAATCCTTGCTTGACAAAAAGAACATTATGCACTGGATTGAAGTTGCGAACGAGGACGTACCTTATGAAACAAAGTCTCCAAAATTGAAAATAGTAGAAGGGAAGCAGAGTCGTTGGAACACGCCTTAAGGTAATAGTACCCGCCTATAGTACTGGAAAATATGGGCACTTTCCTCATATGATAAAACCGCTATCGTGTGCAATGGTTGTATAGACCAACCTCACACATACGAACGAGAACGTTGTTGGATTGATGTCGATCGAAAAATTTGGAGGGAGTTATCAAAAAAATTGGCCGGAAAACCAAGAGCTCTCTTACAATATGTTTGGTTCAAGGATTTTGACTGGGTAAAGAAAAGAATATATGAGAGAAACCTTTTTTTGTTTGGTTAGTGAGAAAAAGAAAATAAAAGTAAGAGGAAAAGAAAAGTGGATAGAAAATGAATTTATAAAGTGGAAAGGCATTTTCCTCCCAGATTCAGATGGAAAATGAGAGAATCGATCGCTCACCCGTCTCTAAACCCTGATAGTCTTATCATCGTTGTCGCTGAACCCTGCCATGTTTTCACTCTATAAACAATCGCGCCTCTCAGCTCTCAAGCGATCGCAACCCTAATCTCGAAAATGAAGATGGGTGGAGTTTTCTCAAGTACAACTTACAATGTTGTATAAAAAATGTAGTCTTAAGACATTGTAGAAACACCTTAGCATGGTTAAAGATATTATTCAAAATGGCAACGGATTTGATTTACTTTTTCAACCAAAATGCTTGAAGCTGAGGAAGGGGAGTAAAGAAGAAGGGTATGAATAACACAATTTTTTTTTTTGAAAAACATTGGAATTTGTTTTGATACGGAGTATATAAACCCAAAAAGTTATCCCTCAAAAAAAGAAAGATCCAAAAAGTTTGGGAATATCATCCTACTGTGTGCAAACTAATTCCTCCACAAACTTAAATTGGTATACTCCATGCATTAAAAATCTTGTATTTTAACATAGGCTAAAATCCCTAGCTTGTCTTATTTTGGCTTGAACTTTTTAACATTAGTTCAATAACTAATCAGTGGCTCTTTTCAGCACTTTTTTACACATTTATTACTTTGCCCTCTTTTGTTAATAAACACTTATTTTCTTGATAGACAAAGCCAACAGCTACATTTTTGAAATATAATCCAATTCCATGCTATGAAATCTTGGGTGAGTAATTTGGAAAAGACCGTGCTACAGGAGTGCCAAACAAGGACAGATGCAATGGGCAAAAGAACAAAATTATATGGAGGAAAAAAATGTGGCTACGCATAAAGTTTGGTGAAGAAATTTCACATGAAGAATCGATGTAAATGTTCTGTTCTTTAGTCTCTGCTGCTCCTTAGCTCTGTGATTGTGTGCCCTGCTCTGTGTCTGGACAAGGGATGGCTTATTATTTTCGTTTATTATGCTTTATGCATATAGAGATGTTTAATATTTTGCCTCAAGTCAGAATGGTTTTTCTCTCCACATTCTGGTCTTGTTTCAAAACAAGAATACTGATTCCTTTTATGTGTTTTGTGTCATTGTGTGTGTCTCCTTTTATATTTCCTTATTTTATTGTTTCAAAAGTTCATAGTTCTTTTCATGAACTGTGGTACAAATTCCAGTTTAAATGGGTGGGTGAGGCCACATCTGTTGTGTCCATCAATGGCAATCTAGTAGATTATGCACATTCCAGCTTTATGGCCTTAGTGAAGGAGTATTTCCTTCTTGTTAAGTCAAATGTTTTTTTTAAGACAAATGTTTTGGTCATTGATTTTCTTGTTCTTTTTGTTTGGTGATATATTTTTGTTTATATTAATAAAATTGCATAGTGTGTTGGAGCAATTGAAGTGGCGCGGAGTCATAAACATAATAGTTATTCGAACAATAGATTCGAACAATAAGATGAGAAAGTATGTGCAGACAGATACTCTATTGTAATGGATTCAATAGTACTAAAAAAATCACAGACGTTTACACTCAAAAGTTAGAAAACAACACTAGCAATTCTTATACCATCCATAAGATTTAACTTTATAAAAGTGCTTTAACTTGAGAAAATCACCACCAAGCAAATTGCAAGAGACCTACAAGCAAGCTAGTTCAACAAAATCAATCTGATAACATAATCATGAGAATCTAATTAACAGTTAACTACTAGTTGATACTTGTTTAACACAGTTTTGAGCAATCTACAGAATTAGAGCAACAAACCAGATAACCCATGAAGTTTCACAAACCAAGATGGGCTTCTGGAGCATCCAAATATACTGGTGAAGAGTCAAGGCCATCGGCCTTAATCGTGAACCTGTAAGAACTGATTATGTGAGGAGGGGTTGCTTGGTCATAATAAGAAAACAAATTCAAAGCATATAAGCAACAACCCAGTTGGATCCCACAAATCAGATAGTGATAATATATTCGAAACAATATATAGTATAGGTAATCACTTTTTGTGCAGTATACGAGATACCGCACAATCACAATAATCAAGAACAGAATGACGGTGATGCAGTGTAGGTAATCGCTTTGTTACAAGTTATGATAGAAAAAGTAGGTATCTTGCAAACCTGCTTTTCATTTATGAAAAAAAAACATATTTAACAAGTTCCTTGATCTGAACATCATTTTTAAACCGGGCCTTGATTTTTGGTCTAGACATTTTCAAAATTGTATAATACTCATGTTTTACCCACAAATCAAAACAAAAAACTTGCCTCAAGAAACTTATTTCAAGATAATTACAAAGAATTGAGCAAAATATTTGATTCACGAACCCCCACCCACAACACAAAAAATTCCAAATTTTATTAAAATATTTTTCGCCAATCAAGCTGTCAAGGAACAGACTCAGCCAAAAGCTCAAGCTTGTAGTTGTAGGCCCAAGAAAGGTTTTTATACTCTAAAAAAACTTCTAAAAAATAGAAAATCAACTTTGTTTTTAATTACTCCATTTGTACAACTTGAAGACCTTAAACATTGTGCTTTTCAGGTCAGTGGGCGGGAAAATCTTCACAACCACAAACAGCATTTATATTGTACTCTGATAACTATCTCATTATAGTTAAACTTACTTTTAGAGTTTTATTATAAATAAATCAAAGGCTTGTTTTGTATGCCCGAATGGAAGTCTTCCAAACCACTAATATCAAGTTCTCATAGACGATGTTGATTTGCTTTGGGGACGTGAGTTGCGGGATCCACCTGCCAAAGGATATAGCAAATTGAAAGTTCAACCCTATACCAGAAAATTCATATCAACACGATGAGCGAAACTGTATTTACTGCATAACTCCAGCTTGGTAAGACATCAAAAGCGTTTGAAAGATGATCAAGTAAATGAACTGAAATCTAAAGAAGATGGTTTTAGTAGGTGGGTGGTCGAGTAATTTGTTTTGTCAATGAACTGGAGAAAAAATTTAACATAGATGGAAATCTAGATTTTTAGGACCACAGACCAATTCAAAAAATTTTACACACTAAGTAAAGCTTACAAGATCCTAAACACTATATGGGTGGATGGTTTGGAGGGGAGAGGAGGGGAAAGCTTTGCAGGTACAAAAAGTACATTCATTAGAGACCTGTGAGTATATTTAACCTTCACATTTCACCACATACAAGCACATGGATCAGTACCCAGGCTCAAGAAAGAACAAAATTGCACTAATTTGTCCTGTAAGCATTTTCCTCCCCTCTCCAGCTTCCCTTTATCAAGAAAGATTTAAATTGTCAAGAACAACAACAAACCCAGTACATTCCTAACTTCGTTGGTATGGAGATTCAAGATTTACACAACCAAATGGGAGGTTACAGCACAAAACTTCATAGAAAGTAAGAACAAGAGAAGTTTAATGTGTCAATTTGATTAAGTCTAATATTTACCCAAAACTAAAGCATAGTCAAACACGACTCTTTTAGTTCGGTTGGCAATGGAAGCAGAGATTCAAATTGTCAATGATAAAGGATTTTCCGCCGGAAATAAAATGAACTCAAGGGCACTCGATGCCAATAATATACACTTAAGAAATAGTAACGATAATTTGTACTTAGGTCTACTTGAACAATATTATTTCACCACAGACACTGCGGAGATTTAATGTGGCTGGATTATTAACGTTTTTCAAAGGCTTATGTATGGATTATCATTTATTATTTCTTAAGTGCAATTTTTTGACAACCAATGCCCCAAACTGCTGATTATTGCAGGCCAAAACCGCAGAATAAAACTAAAAACTAAAGTAATATCCATGGTTGTTAAGTCGACAAGTCGAGTCGAGTCGGTGACAGGGAGACTAGTAGACTAGGCGACTAGTCGTAGACTAGGCGACAAATCACAATTAGTATTAAAATTTTTAACATTATATATATCTATATTAACCCAACATGAATATATATATATATATATATATATATATATATATATATATATATATATGTCAAAACACCATAACCAAAGCAAACTTATGTTTAAAGATAGCACATAAAGTGACTTAACAAAGAGTACATAACAAACAAATATCCTTTAATCTTTAAAAATAACACACCAAGAAATATAATTAACCAAATAAGAAGTCAAAGGACATATTAAAATAGTTAATTCCATGTTTTGAGTTATCAAAAAACTGAAATAAAAAAAATTGAAATATTAAACTGAAAAAAAACTGAAATACTAAAATACTAGAATAAGAAAAAAATTAAAATATTAACTGAAATCAGAAAAAAAAACTGAAATATTAAAAAAATAGAAGAAAACTGAAAATTTTAAAGTATATTATACTTTATAGTTTAATGAACCAAATCAATGAAAATTAAATCAAATAGAGTATACTTTAATGATAACAAAGTAAAAGAAATCTTACCCATGGAGGAGAGTCGCTGCTGGAGGCTGATGGAGGAGAATCGATGGAGGAGAGTCACTGGCTGGAAGTCGCGGAAGTCACCCTGGAACGGGAAGCCTAGAGTCGCGAACCTCCAGATTTCCGATTGGGTCGGGTCGGGTTGGGTCGGGTCAATTGAATTAGGTCAAAATCGGCCAATTTTTTTCACCGATTAGGCGTCGCCTAATCGCGGCTAAGCGGCTAAGCGGCTAAGCGTCGGCCATAGGCGCTAGTCGTACAGCAAATCTCCATGGCAAAGCCGCCCGGACGACTAGTCGGCGACTAGTCGTGGCCTAGGCGACGACTTGACAACCATGGTAATATCAACAATAGAATAACTTGATACTTCTGACATTTTCCTAATCCAAACAGCGTGATTATTTTGCAATGAAGATTGAACGGTGGCTTGTGGATTGTTTCTTTTTACGTACAAGAGATTTTACTGCACATGAAACTTAATAAATGATCATAACTCAAAATGATTGTTTATTATTTAAGTTAAAAAAAAGAGAGTGGAATAGTAGGTACATTCCTGAACTTCTAAAAAACTACTCCGTCCCTTAACAAAGTTGGCAAATTGACCTCATGAAGTTTAAGAAATGTGTTAAAAAGTGAAAAGTGTGTGGTTAGAATTTGATTAGAGGAAGAAGAAATATTATGAGCCACATATTCTTTTCTTCAAGAGGAAATGGATTAGGCGTAAACATTATTTAGGGGCGCTCGAAAGTCGAAATAGAAAGTGTAAACTTTAGTTAGGGTTGGAGGGAGTAAAAATTTGGATTATTAAGCTAACGAGAATTTTTTAATGAAATATAAAGAATTCGAGCATACCTCCAGCTTTTCTCTAGCTTCATGACAAAAAGTTTTACATAGAATCTCATAATTTGTTTGTAGTCCTACCTGCAACATCAATTGCCAATATGGTTATAAATTCTGCATATAAATATCTAATGTCTGAACGTCCTGAAAGTGAAAATAGACCCAGTGAGGCACTAAACAAGTACAAACACCATACGCCGAGACATACTCTGGATGGTGAAATAGAAGACACTGTGTACCTGCATAGAATTTAAAAAAAATGTACTGTAAGAGAAATGTTTATATGTATAGTAGTTAGAAGAGCAATATTTTGCATGACAAGTAGACAACAAAAACAAGAAATGTCACTAGAAATATGGAACTTAAGATTTAAAATGCTTTAAAAGAAAAAAACTCCAAAAGCCACTGCATGTTTACCTTCAGACTGCAAAGAATGTAACTATTTTCCTTTAGGTAATGTTTGGGAACTAGCATTTCATTTCAATTCATGTATTTCAATTTCAAATTTTGAATTCTTGAATTTCAAATGACAAGTGGAGGTATATGGGTTTCAAATTGAGCATTGTTATGAATTAGAAGAATTTGACTCAAATCCAAATCTAAATTTTTTAAGTTTCACAAACATGGAATTTGAGCTGAATCTGAATTTGAAATCTAAATCCAAGTTTCCAAACATACCATTAGAGAATTTATTAATCGTGTTTAGATACTTCCAGTGTACCATTGTTTAGCCTTCAAAATGCCCCAAGTGATAACTGAATTCAAAAAAAAAAAATTAAGCCTTCTTTTCAAGAATGGATTGTGGAGATGATCAAGAAACTCTGATCAATCTCAATACATGTTTCTTCACTCATTTCAATTGCTTGAATATGCCCATATCATGTAAATCTACTTTAACTTCTTTAGATGACTTCTCAACCTATATAATGGTGTGACCCTATTTATCTCTGATTCAGTCGTATCACCATAGGTAATGCATTCGTGTTACTATCTTCTTCAAGTAGTACTTTTTTGTATATTGCTTCCACTATTCAGCAGTCATGTCTTACTAACAGCACCTGCTAGCCTCCTATCCAAATATACCTCTGATGCTTTGCATTAATAACTTCAAAAGTTGTATGTGATTCTTTGCCTAACCGATTTATCATTGTATCAATACCTAAGATGCAATAGTGACATATACGATGAAGCTAATCACTTCACAAGGGGAATATGGAGGCAAGGGGAGAGAAATATAAACATACTCCTAAGGATTACTAGCATGGTTGGGGACTATCACTTTCATCTAGACCCCTTTATTTTTTACTCAGTTTGGTCAATTGATTTTCCTATGATTCTAACAACCTACTCCGTATTTGATGTTGAATAATCAGTATTGGTTTAATTGATTCTGAGCTTGGTTTGATCCTTGAAGGAATTGCCAATCTATTCACTGCCCCTTCATTAATGTTTATGGTATCCAATTATTTAATCACATTTAGCTAAGGTTAATCACCAATAAATAATTAGATTTTGCGATATTGACTATTTCAAAGATTTGGAAAATGCATTTCTCGTATAGTAGTATTCCTTCAACACCCATCCCATATCCTCAAGCATTGAAGAAGACAAATGAAGAGGAGAAGCACAAAAAGTTCATGGACATGTTCAAATGGTTGAGTATGAACATACCGTTTGCAGAAGCTATCTCGGATATTCCCTCCTTACGCCAAATTTCTAAAAGGTATTCTCTCTAACAAAAAGAAATTGGAAAACTTTGCTATGGTTGCACTAACGGGAGAGTGTAGTGCAATTATTCAGAATAAACTACCTCCAAAGCGTAGTGACGTGGGCAATTTCATTATCCCGGTATCACTGGGAAAAATGGAAAGTATTAAAAGCTTATGTGATCTTGGTGACCCACTACGGTGTCACTTCAATTAGAGGATATGTCTATCCGCTACCCTCTAGGTATTCTAGATGTGCTAGTGAAAGTCGGAAATTTTCATTTTCAGGTAGATTTTCTTGTTCTTGACATGGAGGAGATGGAAAATCCAATCATTCTTGGACATTCAAAGTTGAAGACAAGGTTGAGAAATTTAATGTCTAGAAACCAGAAGGAAGACGCGGAAAACAAGTAGATAAAGGATGCACCAACAAGAAGTACGAGAAAGAAAAAGTTTGGGGTGACATCCAAATGACCAACAAATAAGCATGCCCCCAACCACCAAAAGAAGTATCGTCCAGCCTATGACCTTAAACTAAGCGTCGGAGGCCACCACCACCTCGACATAAGTCTCTTGTCCTTTCTTCTTCTTCCTCCTCCACCCTTCTTCCTTTCTTCTTTCTTCTTCCCCTTTCTTACAAGCTTGGCCAATGGTTTCTTTTCACAAAGGTGTGCATTTTAGTTGTTTCATTGTCAATTTCTTGTACTTTTTAGGCTTTATGATACATTATGATGTTGATTGTTAAGATTGTGAGCATTTATGCCCATTTTGAGTTGAATTTGCGTTTTGCAAAACCCCCAAACCTTAGCCCCCCCTCCCTCCCCCCCACCTAATTCAAAATTCGCTACTCTTTTCACATTATTGCTACATTTTAATGCTTGAGTATGCTTCTTGAGGGCTGTGTTTACCATAGTTGCCAAATTTCTGGGTTTCATCAAACAGGGAGTTATGCAAAAGTTTTGTAAAATTAGGTATAAAAATGTTATTGGCCTCTCTTTTTGATTTATTTCTTCACTTTTGCAGGTATCATGGCGCCCAAACCCATCAAACAAGCCAAACACGCCAAAACAGGAAAGAAGTGGCCTAACGATGATGGCTCATCATCTAGCCGACCACCCCGGTTCACCTCTTAGGACTTAGAAGAATAGGGTTGGTGGGAGACTCGTAAAGAAACTGCATTAATCATTGAGAAGCCAATCGATCCAGCAATTGACAACCAGTTTAAGCTCTCCAATGCCTTCACCACGCTAGGTTGGGCTGCCGTGCTTACCCTCACCAGAGTGTACTATCCAGAGCTTATTCGCAAGTTCTACGCGAATATCACAAAGAAAAAGGTCGCAAGGGGCACACATTAGAAGCCACGTACGGGGTACAGAGGTGTAAATTGAGCACACTTACCTCAGAGAGTTCCTCAACCCCCGTGACCCCCCCATACCCAACTCCTATGATCAATTGAACTAGGGTAGTTCCAGATGATTTAGACTACCACATCAAGGCTACTAAGAGGAAATTCAGGGTTGAGGGCATGCTTACAGTCTTTGGGGTTGCGATGGATCTGAGCTCAGCTTCAAATATATCTCATCAGTTTCAAAATCATTCCAAGGGCATCAAATGCACGAGGGAAGTTGTTAGCTCCTTTCGAATTGACAAAAATCTAGTCTTCCCATACTCCCACCAAATCACCAAGGAACAAACCACAAAGGTTGCTTTATATAGACTTCCTTTTCAAGATTCCAATGCAATAAAAGCATCATTGTTGTCAAGTTGATATAAAGGCCAAGCATGTTTAGCAGCCAATTAAATAAATAACTTGGCCATGTTAATATAGCCACAAGAGAAATCAAATCAGAATAATCAATAACACAAGCCTGAACATAGCTCTTTGCAACCAATTGACCCTTCAAGCGAGCAATGGATCCATTAGGATTCACTATAACTACAAACACGCACTTGCATCTAATAGAATTCTTCCATGACTAAAGTTTTAGTAGGAAATATAGCTAAGATATTTCTCGGCCTTCCCACACAACCTTGTTTCGACGAGCATGTATCCTAGAAAGGTCAATTAACACATTAAAGAATGACTGGTTGCCTCTAATGGTTAAACTAACAATAAGACCAAAACAATATTTCTACTTTGGGGACCAAAATAATATTACCACTACAGTGGAGACAAACCATGCTATTTTTTTAGAACCAAAAACCATGCTATTAACTCAACTATTTATCCTTATAATGCTGGGTAACTATTCAGGAAAAAATGAGATTCTTAATCTTATTCTGCAGTATACTGGAAGTTTTAATAGTAAAACAAAAAATTACCCAAGTTTAGTAGTATAGAAGTTCATAGCCTTAGCATTTGCCCTTTGAACTGTCAGAACCACCGCACCCATTTTACTCTGCAAAACAGAAAACTTTAGTTAGGCATTTGACAGGAATCTTTTTGGTAACATACAGAATTACAGCCCAATCCAAATGAAGGTATATAAACTATAAACAGAAGTGATCGAGATAGCAGTCACCTATTGTAAAACAAAAAGAAACACACTCCATAATAAGATTTCATTTTAAACTTAGTTACATAATAAAGAAAAGATTTCCACAAACTAGGATTACAGACCTTGTTGGCAATAAGCTCAATTAGTTGCATCAAGTATTCCCCTAGGCCCTTTCTCTGAACACATTTCTCAAGCTGCAACTCATAAACATAAAGAACTGGTGTATCTTCTTCTACAATGAAGCGGTAATGTACAAATCCAACTATTGGGAACTTATCATCCATCCTTTTAACTCTATCCCTATCCTGGCCACCAAGTGCAGACATTTGATTGGTATCAGAATTTGGGATCTCGTATAAAAATATGTAGTGTGCATCTGGTGCAACCATTTCCCTGCGCTTGACCTTCTCTTCATCTGGCCACTCAGATCCATATGGCCCCTTCATATTCACCTGTAACAGATGCTTTTTATAAATCACAAGTGAAATACATGACAAGACACAAGAGTAGCTCATATCCTCATTCACTCAACTTCAGATACCTTGAGGAGGCCTTGGATATAGTGCTTCAGTTGAGAAGAAAGTTTATTCCCACGACCGGGTTCCAAGTACAGAGACAAGCCTAGAGATGAAGAAAAGATTGTGAGTGTGATACAAGTTGTAGGAAGCCTGAAGCTACTCGATTGCAGAGATGAGAGCTTCGAATTGCTTGTCCAATAAGGGTGATCAGGAAGAAGAAGAAGAAGAAGAAGAAGAAGAAGAAGAAGAAGAAGAACAAGAGAGAATAGAATTGGGAGAAGAGATGAATCTTATAACTTGAACGCCATGTACAATCCTCAGCCAAGACTATATAGTTGAGCTAATATCTAACTGATTTCTAACATACTCGAATCAGTTGAAACTAACTCCAAGACTAGTTATAACTCAACTCCGAACTGACTAGTTACACTCAAAGGCATATATGCTGTATGATACTATCCCCCCTATATAACAACCTTGTCGTCATGGTTGAAATTCTTGGAATCTGTTTTGTATGTCTTCAGCACATTCCCATGTGCCATCTTGTGGGGTTGGCCAGTCAATTTGATTAGGAATCAAATCCTAGCTGAGTGGTTCCTTTTTTCTGTTCATCTAGAAAGCACAGTCTCTGATGTAGGCATAGAATCAGTATGAATACCCTGCATCCATGGTAGAATACGTGGTAGCACTGGCCAGCTTCCCTTGAAAGCTTCCAAAAGGGAAACGTGAAAGACATCATGTATTTTGGCAGAGGCTGGCAACTGTAGTTTATAAGCCACCTTTCTAATTACATCTTGAATCCGGAAAGGTCCTGAATACTTGGCATTAATCTGTTCATTGCTTCTTTCAGTACAGTTGCCTGTCTCTAGGGCTGGAATTTGAGCCACACCAATTCTCCAACCTGAAAACTCTTTTTAGCTCTATGCAGGTCAGCAAGTTGCTTCATATTGTTTTGGGCGTTGTGAGGTTGAATTTAAGCAAATGGATCATTTCTTCCCTCTTTTGTTGTGGCTGTCCATGACTTCGACCTTGGATTTCCCTGGCAAATAAGGTGAATAAAGGGTGGCTGACTGTACACCATTTAGCCAAACGTAACCCCTTCACCAAGTCCTTCGGAGTCTAACAAACCATACACCTCAAGCAAGTCTCTAAACATCTATTCACTAGTGTTTGCCCATCAGTTTGAGGGTGAAAGGAAGAGGATAGCAATAGGTCTACTCACTGAAAACAAAACATTCCAAAAAGTGCTTAAAACACAGAATCCATGCAATTTGTACACATTGTCAAGGTAGGATTGAGCCACTTCCAAGGCAGTGTGTGGATGAGATAAGCTCATGAAGTGTGCATATTTACGCAATCTATCCACCACCACAGAAATCACCTTCATTCCTTGAGAAGTAAGTAACCCTTCAATGAAATCCATTAACACATTCACCCATACCTCATTAGGAATTAGTAAAGGTTGTAGGAGACCTGGAGAGGGGGTTGTCTCAAGTTTGCAAGCTTGGCAGATTGTGCAGGTCTTGATGAAGTGAGTTACTACTTTATTTAGGCTCTTCCAATATAACAAGGTTTTAACCCTTCTTAGAGTAGCATCCCTGCCAGAATGACCTCCAATGGGAGAAGCATGACAGCATGAGCGCGTTGCAATATTTAAGGTCTGAATTTGGACCTACTACCAGCTTTCCTTTCCTCCTCAACTGTTGTGCCCATGAGTAGTTGGGTAACCCAACCCGTTTTGTAGTTGCTGGAGAATAGATTCTAAATGGGTGCCAAGATGCTGCAATCTGGTCAGAAAGATCAGATTCAATAATAGACAGAGCTATTCGCATGAGCTGAGCACCAGTTATCCTGAGAGTGCATCTGCTGCTTTATTCTCTTGCCCTTTCGTGTAGTGAACTTCATAAGTAAATCTCATAAGCTTAGAGAGCCAGAATTGTTGAAATGGAGTAGAGATATTTTGCTATAGTAACCATATTAGACTTTTCCAATATGTTTGTATCAAGGGCTTGGCCATCAGGTACTGCTCCCATTTCTGCACTAAATGTACCACTGCTAGCAGCTCTTTTTCATATACGGACAAGTCTTTCCATTTGGGACCCAATGATCTATGGATGAATGCTATAGGATGGTTACTCTGCATCAGCACTGCTCCAATGCCATATTGTGAAGCATCTGTTTCCACCACAAAAAGCTGAGAAAAATCAGGAAAAGCCAAGAGTGGTGCAGGTGAGGGCGTGTTTGAGATCTGCAAAGGCTGACCTAGTTCCGGGGGGACCATTGGAAAGCTCCCTTCTTAAATAAAGAAGTCAATGGCCTGCAAATAGATGCATAATAGGTGAAGAATCTTCTTATGTGTTGGCCACTGTGCAACTGCTTGGATCTTTGTTGGATCAGTCTCCACTCCTTTTCCAAATATAAAATGCCCCAAGTACTCCACTTTAGCTAGAGCAAATATACACTTCCTCTGCTTAACAAATATTGAGTGCCTTCTATAGTATAGCAAATACCTCCTTTGAATGACATAGGTGGTCTTGGAAGGTTTTGCTATAAACAAGGATGTCATCAAAAAAATTGAGCACAAATTTCCTTAGAATGGGTTGAAAAATGTAGTTCATTAGGCTCTAGAAAGTGGCAGAGGCATTAGTTAGGCAAATAGGCATAACTAGGAATTCATAGTAACCTTGGTATGTCTTGAAGGCTGTTTTAGAGACATCCTAGTCATTTATCCTGATTTGATGACAATCAGCCCTTAGGTCCAATTTGATGAAGATTATTGCCCCAAAAAGATCATGAATCAGTTCCTCCACAACAGATATGTGAAATTCATCTTTTATGGTTGTCTTGTTCAATTCCCTATAATAGTATAATCCACACACAACCTCCAAGACCTTTCTTCCCAACTAAAACAACAGGAGAAGCAAAAAGACTATTACTCAGCTGAATAATGCCATTGTCCATCTTTTCTCCTACTAATTTTTCAACAATATCTTTTTGTTTGAGGGGATACATGTAGGGTCTGATCCTTACAGGTTGGATTCCCTCCTTCAAAGGAGTGCTATGGTCAAAACCCCCTCCAACTAGCTGGGGTATGGAAGAGTAGTGAATATTATTCAAGGATTTGACTAGTAAGTAGAGGAATTTCTTCTTCAGCTTCCTTATTCATCCTTAGTCCTTAATTAGCAGTGGCTTCTGCATTGTTGTCCTCCTCTTGAATTTGTACCATGCATATTTCTGCTATGTTGCACAAAGTTGTTGGGTAATGCTAGAATAACAACTTTGACAGCATGGATGGCAATCATCTGTAAATTTGTTCACACATGATAATATCTTGTGTGTGTACAAATTTCTAGACAGTTGTCGTCCGGGCTGTCAAAGTTGGTGTTATTCTAGCCTATTTGTTTTGTTAGTTGGCCACTCTTCAACGTACCCATCTTTTGTTTTGCACCCCTAAGAGTACGCTTGCTGCCCAAATACTTATACTCCATACACAGTTTGCTTAAAACTCCACTAAACGGTACCCGAAGTTTTTATGCATTCTGCCCAAATACTTAAACACCATACACAGTTGCTTAAAATTCCACTTAACAGTACCCAAAGCGCTCAACCATTGTATGCCTAAAACAATATCACAACCCCCTGTAGGCATAATGTATATGCCTTATATAAATTATGTACCTTATAACCTGCATTTAAAATATTTGTGTACCTGAGTACATTGTAGGTTGTAACCATCAGCCACTACTCCCTGAATCTAGCAACAGTTGCAGGGCCTTTTTTCCCACAAACCCAGTGACCATCATAGTTTGGCATCCATTACCTCCAGAGATGACATGTATAGATATGGATGGATCACTGTCAGTTGGTGACTCAAAATCAGACATTTCAAAATTCAAACTGCTCATCTTCATGAATCTGCTAGTGATCTCTTGAAGTTTGCTGGCCTCAAGTGTCTCCTCTTGCACTCTTGCATAACCAATGGTTTTGGTTAAAGATGTAGGGGGAAAGGCTTTGGCAAATGCTTAAACTCGCGCCTTGAGTCCTGAAACAAAACTGTCCAATAAATATTCCTCAGGCATTGCAGGTCTTCCCTGAAGCAGTACACCTTTTAATTCTTCAAACTTGTGGACATACTTCTCTAGAAATCTTGTTTGACACAATCTATTGAATTCTTCAACAACATTAAATCGTGCACTTAAATCCACACTAAACTCTTCCCATTCAATATTAGCTATTATTTGTCCATAGACGCTAAACCACATTTCTGCTTTTCCCTTCGGATGATGATCATGTATATTACACAGAGAAAAGTATTTTCTACATATCTTAATCCAATCCCTTGGATTTCTCACTTCGAAAATAGGAAACTCAATTTTAAGGTTAATACAAAATTGGCTCCTACCTTCAGAGTTAGCAGAGGTGCTCCCTCCAGTCGACTGTCCTCCATTGCTGCTTGACAGTAGTTCATTAATGCCACGTACAATCCTCAGCCAAGACTATATATAGTTGATCTAATATCTAATTGAATTCTAACAAACTCGAATCAGCTAAAACTTACTCCAAGACTGGTTCAGGTCAAGACTAAACTGCTCCCCAAATTGCAGTGTAAGGCTATCCTGTTTTCCGAAAAATGATATGAGGTAAAAAAAACCTAATGAAAATTGCTGCAGTAGAAAATTAAGAACCGTTTCTGTTGTGATGAAGAAATGTGGGAAAACTGGAGAGATGGTTATCCACACAAGAAGCAGCTCTGATTTTCTCCTCCACCAGCTTCTTCTTTTCCAGCATCTGATTCAGGAAGCATAATGAGGGATTTTTAACATATTATGAATGGATGCGCGGAGAGTTTGAGAGAGAAAGGGAGAGAATTACCTCCTTCCGCTTCATCTTATTCCCCTTTGTCATCCCTTCCCAATTCACATGGTGGGTGGGTTTCATTTGTTCTATTTTGATATCCTCTAGTTCTTCCACCATATCCGGTCCTAAGCCACCATCCAAAAACGAACCCAAACCGATTATCCGAACCGAAATATCCGGAACCGAAACCGAAATGATCCGAAAAATGAAATCCGATATATAACCGAAAACCCGAAATGATCCGAATCGAACCGAAACCGATCTAAATAATTCATATCCGATTTAAATCTGAAACCGATTAGATCCGAAAATGATAATATCCGAACCGATTAAACCTGAAACCGATTAGATCCGAAACCGATAATACCTGAAACCGACTAGATTCGAAACTGATTACATCCGAACCCGATTAGAACTAAAATCGATAAATTCATAACTATGTTTGCCTTTCAATAAGCATATTATATTTTTAAATTTTTACTTTTATTTTACCATTTGAACTAATTACATTACTTGCTCATTCCCTCATAAAATGGATTATCTTCTTAAAAAAACACTAATTACATATAAATGATAACGTACAAACAAATAAAATTTACGTAATTTTTAAATAGTGAAGTGTGATATTCTTTTTGGGGCGAAATGATTATATCATAAATTGTATAGAACAACTAGATTTTATCCTAATTTCATTCCATTACAATAAATTTTATTGATTTGAGAGTTCATTTGATTAGTTTCAAATCAATTCACTCAATATTAGTTAATAAAATTAGATGCTAGTGTTAGAATTTTGAAAAGACTTTCTAACGGCAATATTTAGTGATATCATTTTCAAGTTTGATCTACGTCATTACATTTAGGTGTAAAATTAATTATATTTGAATCTAATAAATTTAATTTTATCTATTTTCAACCAAATACACTCAATAATTTGTAAATTTTGCACTCAATTGAATAAAATTCACTTAATTTCACCTAATTTTACTCAATTTTTACCAAATTGTATTCAAATGAAACATAATCTTATATCTGATCATTTATAAACATAAGTATATTAGTAAATGTGAGAAAAATTTGATATATCAAAACTAAATTTTAAAATCAATTTAATTATATTAAATTTATATCATAATTAAATATATTTGTTTTCATAATTTGTAGTCCACGTTTGTAAAATATGACTAAAAAGTCAAAAAGGGAAGATTATTTAGGGTAGAGATAATATAATTAGAAAAAAATATAAAATAATATGAGGTATTGGTTTGATGATAGATTGATAAATGTGATAAAATATAAAAAGAAACATGAATAGTTAAATTTTAATTAGAAAATAATATATATCCAAAATATATTTGATCCGAAACCAAAATATATCCAAACCGAACTAGACCCGAAACTGAAATATATCCGACTCAAATTGTATTCGAACTGAAATCTATCCGAATCGATTTGTAACCGAACCGTATCTGAACCGACTCGAAACCAAACTGAACTGAAAAATGTTTAGGACCGAATCAAATCCGAACCAAAATTTAACCGATTCGATCCGAACCAAACCGATTATAACATATAACCGAAATATACTCGAAACGAAAAAATCCAACCCGAAACCGATCCGGTTGATCCGGTTGCCACCTCTATCTACCACCCTTAACATTAAGAGTCAAATAAATTTAACAAATGTAATTAAATCCGTATTTATAAATGTGAGACTCCAATCGATGACAATTTGACATGTGACATATTCAAAGCTTGACACGTGACATATTAGGTGGCAATTTAACCATATTTATTCTCTTTCATTATTTCACATTTTTTCTTTTTTTCGAAGATGATATGGAGTAATTACTTATTTTGAACCCATGAATTAAAATTTAAAATTAAAATTATTTTCCATGTAAATTATTATTTTAAATAAAAATTATTTTTCATGACTATACATAAAAATATTTTTAATAGGTTTCTCGGATTTGCTAGATCATAAAATTTACAATTTTTTTAAGAATAATAAATAAAATGCACTCCTCACCCATAAATAAATTTTATATTTTTTCATTATACATCTACATGATATTCGTTTTGATTATATTTATTTAAATATTGAAACCTATTAAATAAAACACTTTCTTTACCTATAAATAAATTTTATATTTTTTATGACACCTAATGTGTCACCTAATTTAAGATATAGAAAAAAAGAATTCAATGTTTTGGTATAAAATCTTTGAAGAAGTTTAATTGTTAAAGAGAAACATTCATTTTTATGAAAATACTCTTTTCACTACAATACAATATTTGTTACTTGCTTTATTTATAATAAAACAATTGATTAATAAATGACAGGGAGGTTATTCCGTACTAAACTTTACCCAATTCGTTTCCAACTTCTTACAATATGCATAGATCATTGAGGTTGTGTTTCGTTCGCCTTATTTTTTCTGATCTGATTTTTTTATAGTTCTAATCTGATTTGATAGGATCTGATCTGATCTGATCTGATTGGATCTAATCTGATCTGATTGGATCTGATCTCATCTGATTGTTTCTAATCTGGTCTGATTGTTTCTGATCTGGTCTGATCCAATCAATTATGATTTGATTTAAAATCCAAATCAATATTTAATTTGACTTTATAATTACGTTTGAAAATTGTAATGATAATTCATATTATAATATAATTAATATTTTTTATTTTATGATTTTTTTAATAAAATAAAATTAGTTAATTCATATATTAGAATAATCATTCATATTATAATGTAATAATATTTTTTATTTTATGATTAATTTTTTGTGAAATTAGAATATTAATTTAATATTTTAATAATTACTTCATATGTACATTAGAATAAGTATTTAATTGATATATGCATTAAAAAGTAATTAAATTTAGATACTAAATATATAGAAGAGATATGATTTTATTAAAATATCTCATCCTTATAAAAGATCAAAACTTTAGAAACTTAAATTACACGTAGCAATAAAAATGTACGGGGTATTTTAAAAATAGAACTAGATTGACATTGTCAGTGTATTTTAAAAATAATTTTTTCAACGTCTAGTAATTAAGGATTACTTTCTCAGTTTTCTATCTAACTTGTTTCTAAAGTTTATTCTTTTTCATTTTTAATAATAATAATAGCAACAACAACAATAATAATTCTTGATGGGACCCGATCTGGACTGATCTGATCTAATAAAATCTGATCTGATTGGATTTGATCTGATTCGATCTGATCTAATCAGATTTTAAGAAAAATAAGGAAAAAAAATAAGATGAACGAAACGGGGCCCAAGGCCTAAGTAATAAAGAAAAAAATAAATTGGCCCAGCCTAACAAACAAAGCCTTGCTCTTCTACCGAGGTGTGGTCATCGATGATAGTTACCTCTTGCACAGTTGCACCCGCCACTCACCTCCATTTGGCCCAGCCGAGAGAAACAATCTCATTATGAGCCGACTCCGGCAAGCTATCTGCTCTGCCACCGCCGCTTCCTTCTACCTTTCAACTTCATTCGTTTTCCGCAATGGCATCTCCCGAGCTTTATCCACTAGCATTCATTCACCCTTGTCGATCCACTCTCAGAATGATTCTGAAGCCTTAAAACCCCACAAACTTCTCGCATCCCCGTGGTCCACCACCCAGCTCCGAGGCCTCAAATTGCGCGGCGCCGATGTAAGTTCTGCTTCCAGCATCAATTAGATGTATTTATGTGCAGTTTATGTTTTTCAAATGGCGACTTTAGGAAACGCTGTTTGTGATTTGATGACAATGCAAAGATGTATCTGTATTTGAATACATGGAGTTACAGTATGGAGTTTTTTAAATTTTAAATATCTTTGTTTTTGTGTTGAAGTGATCAAAATTGGAGCAAAATTGAAATTTTATGATGCTGGCTCTATCTCTGTTCCTCCTTTTGGGAAAAAAAATCTTTTATATGCTTTCTTGGATGACATTTCTGTTTGCTTTTAGCTTAATTCCCGAGAAGGAAAATTTTCCCCGTTAATGAATTCATTCTGCCTTTTTGGTTTGTAGGTGAAGCCAGGGAATGTTATTGAGAGAAGAGGTTAGGTTTTGTTGATACATTATTAGATTTTGTATAACAAATCATGCACGAGACTAACATGTTTCTTAATTGTGATGGTGAATCAAAATTCTTTTTATACTCAAGGAAAGATTTATCAGGTAAAATGTTAGTTCAGATGTTTTTTAAAAATTCAAAATTTGTTTCATATGTTATGTAGTACTCGGTATATAAAATGCAATTCACATCGAGAATGGAAAATGACATAGGTGGTAAAAGCACAACATAGTACACAGGGAAGAGGAGGAGCTATTGTTCAGGTAATGGACATATATTTTATAGTTTATATTTTTTGATGTTATGATTTTGTTTCTAGTACTATCGCTCCACTCATATGCTTAGAAAAATTAACTAGTCCGATCTTGTGTACTGAAAAATTATGGAGTTGCCCCTTAGGCTTGGTCAAATTAACTAGTCTAACCCTATACTTGAAAGTTGAAATGTCAACTAGGATTTTTCTAGCTTTAACTTTATTACCCATTCGTTACACTTCAAGCTTGTTTTATTTACTGTTTCTCATTCTTCTGTATTTAATGAAATTCCCTTAGTTTTCATATATTAAGGGTTCGTAATGGTTATAATTGCCACTATAAGTTTATTATAATCTAGCATTTGAGATGGTTATAACTGCCACTATATAAAGGGTTCGTAATGGTTTTCCCTTAGAATATTGTAATCTAACATTTGAAAAAATTTTGATAAAATAAGAAATGAGGTAATTCCAAAGAAGGTAGACGTGACCTCAATTGAAGATAAATTGAGAGAGATTCTACTGCGGTGGGTTGGCACGCACAAAAAAGACCGTGATGCACCCTTGGACAAGTGAATTGTGCGAAAGAGGAAGGAGAAGACCCAAAAAGAGATGGGATGACGTGATTAATAGGGATTTGACATATTTGAATGTAGACAAGAGTTGGTAAAGGACATTTTTTTTGGGGGAGGGGATATATGGGATACATGATTACATGTAGGGAAAAAT